TTATAAAGTGCACACCACCTAATCAACATAGCACATTTCACAAGCAATTAGAATGGCGTATGTGATTAACCCATATATTTTCTGATTAGGAGGCACATTTAGAGAGGTCCCGTTTTGATTGAGCTAAAGTTTACAGTTCAAATATTTGTTAGACACCTTCCATGTGTCAGATGTATGCTAAGCAGTGGGGATGACAATCTGGGAAAAAAAAAAATGTCAATCAATGAGTACCAGCTGCTACTGCTATTACCATATATAGTCATACTACTCATAAGGGTAATACTACGTATTGCCACATGCCATCAATGCGCTAACTACCCTGTACACATTACCTGTGAGCTGAGTATTATTATCTCCATCTTACCGATGACAGAACAAAAATTCTGAATGGTTAAGTTTTAACGACTTGAAGCCAAGCACTCAGACTTTAGAGTCTGCATTGTGAACATAAAGCATATAGCCAGCCCAATCATGCAATTATCCCAACTGCATGGCAGCTGTCCAGATGCCTCTCAATCTGCTTCTTCAGCCCTAACCAACATCCTGCAAACTTCTGATGATGGCAGAGAATAGCTCTGGGTGTGTGTTCAACCTAAACCTCCTATAGAACTCCAAATCATGACACAGATCAAAAGGCATGCTCTGGCTGAAGTGAGAACACCTCATTCCTCTGTGACCCCCTACACTGAATCCCATGGTTCCATAAAAGTTTGAAAACCATCAGGAGAAACTTCACCTTGCACTCAAATCCTGCCAAAGGTTAACATTACTATTCCGCTGTTAATCTCCTATACCTCACAATACAAAACTTCCACTAGTCAATTTGCTCTTTCTCTCTCCCCAGGGCCTCTAAAGATGTCACTGAAAAGCAGAAGTATGATTTCACTTTCTTCTTACAATGATCCAGTGAGGTAGGCGTCATAACTCCCTTTTCAGAGAGATGAAGCAGAATTAAAATATTGGGTTAACTGATGTGTATACTCTTACTTTGGGGCTGAACTAATTTTATCAGGCTGTACATTCACCTTCAGGATTTATAAGAGTGTAATCATAAGGAAAAGTCTGTTTCTTTAATAGGGTCACACACAGGAAGAAAACATTGGGCAGAAACAAGAGCTGGTGATCAGGAAAGACACTGAGTAAGCTGGATCTCATATACCTGGGATTAGCAAACCTCTTCTGTAAAGGGCCAGTTGGTAAATACTTCAGGCTTTCTGACCAGTCTAGTAACTATTTAACTCTACTGTTAAAGAGAAAAAGCAGTTGTACCCAATGTGTAAATCAATGGATGTCACTGTGTTCCAATAAAACTTTATTTAGAAAACCAGTCTTCAACCCAGATTCGGACATGGGGACCATAGTTTATCAATCCCTCTGCCGCACGGTATTCAGAGATGGGTGGCAGACTCTGGGTCATTTGCTCAGCTTCTCTGAGGTTTTATTCTCTCCTCTATTAGAAGACATTTCTGACCATACAAAATTATAAAAATTAACTCAAGATAACATATGAAGTGTAACTGGCACATACAAAGCACTCCGTAAATAATACTGATTAATTATTCCAGTCTGGGGCAGGAAATATAAAAGATAAGCCTAGGACATCTCATGTCGTACCAAAGCAAAGAAACTCACGTGGGCCCATGCCTCCAAGATGAAAAAAAGGAGGAACAATGGCTATACCCAAAAGGGCTACAGCCACATGCAGCCTATTCGCTACAAGAACTATGCCCAATGCATGCCCAAGGCCATTAAGAAATTCGTCATTCAAAACACAGTGCAAGCTGCAGCAGCCGGACGTTTCTGAAGCAAGTGTCTTTGATGCCTACGTGCTTTCCAAACTGTAAGTGAAGCTACATTACTGTGTGAGTTGTGCTATGCAGCAAAGCATTCAGGAATCAATCTCGGGAAGCCCACAAAAACCAACACCCCCACCCTGATCTAGACCCTGCATGTGCTCCCCCAGCAAAGCCCATGTAAGAGCTGAGTCCTTAAAGGTTGAAGAAGAAAAATAAAATGAAAATTATACTTAAAAAAAAAACCCTCAAACGCTACTGGACAACATAAAATACACACACACATGCACACGCACACAGAGTTTGGCCCATTGGCAAAAACGGAACAATAATTGAAAAGGATTGAAAGACATCAATTGTGGCTGAGCACAGTGGCTCATGCCTATAATCCCAGCACTTTGGGAGGCCAAGGAGGGTGGATCACTTGAGGTCAAGAGTTTGAGACCAGCCTGGCCAACATGGTAAAACCCCTTCTCTACCAAAAAATACAAAAATTAAGCAGGTGTGGTGGCGCATGCCTGTTAGTCCCAGCTACTTCGGAGACTGAAGCCAGAGGATCACTGGAACCCGGGAGGAAGAGGCTGCAGTGAGCTGATATGGCACCACTGCACTCGAGCCTGGATGACAATGTAAGACTCCTATCTATTGACAGGAAGTCCACAGCACCACCTATGAAATATTTTCACCAAGAAAACCAACCCTGAATATAATTTAGTCTTAAGAGCTATCAGTTTAAAGTGATAAAAACAGTAGGGAAATATGTTGAAAAACATCATGAAGATACAATTAATCAAAGGCAGAATGTGGAAAATATTCCAGGACAAATAACCTGGCCTAGTCCACAATAAATGTATCGGGGAAAAAGAGGAAATGGGAACTATCACAGGTGAAGAGAGGATTAAGAGACATCAAGAAAAAATGGAATGTACAGACCTTCTTTAGATCCTCATTCAAGCCAACTAACTGTAAAAAGTATTTTTGAAATGACTCAAAATAACTGAACAGAGACTGAGAATTAAATGACATTAAAGAATTATCGTTGATCAGGCACAGTGGCTCATGCCTGTAATTCCAACACTTTGAGGGGCCACGGCAGGAGGACTGCTTGAGGCCAGTTCGAGACACCAGCCTGGGCAACAGAGCAAGACTTCATCTCTATGAAAAATAAATAAATAAATAGAAAGAGATACACGTAAAACAGTATGTCTGATATTTGCTTGAAGACACTCCATGCAGCAAGCTAGATGCAGTAGCATGTGCCTACAGTCCCTATAGATTTGGGGTCATTTCCACGCTAATACAATAGTAGGCAGAATTCTAAAGATGTCCATATTTCTCCCCCTGGATTTCCATCCACTGACTATTCATTTAAACACAAATTTAGGAACTGCTATAAAGGAATATTGCAGGTATAATTAAAGCCCCAAGTTGTTTGACCTTATAATCCAGAGATTATCCAGGTGGGCTGACCCAAACAGACTAGCTCTTTAATAGCAGTTTTCTCTGGCTGGAGGCTAAAGAGGAAGTCAGAGAGAATGGAAGCGTAAGGACTCACCATGCCATTACTGGCTTGAAGGTGGCACGTGAGAAGAAATTCCAATGGCTCTGAGGAGCAGAGAGCAACTTCTGGCCGACAGCTAGCAAGGAAATGGAAACCTCAAGCCCACAACCATGCAACTGGATTTTGCTGACAATGTGAATGAGCCTGGAAGCGGATTCTTCCCCAGTACTTCCAGTAGGAGCCCAGCTTGGCCAATGCCTTCATTTTGACCTCGGAAGACATTAACAAGAGGACCCAGGCAAGCCTGTCTAGACTTCTGACTTGCAGGATAGGCAGCTAACAGCTGGGTGCAATGAGATGCACCCATAGTCCCAGGTACTCAGGAGGCTGAGACAGGAGGATCACTTGAGACCAGGAGTTCGAGGTTGCACTGTACTTTAACCATGCCTGTGAATAGCCACTGCACTGCACTCCAGTCTAGATAACACAGTGAGACCCTGTCTCTTTAAAAAAAAAAAAAAAAAAGAACAACTATAAGCTAATTTGTTGTGTGGCCAAAGAAAACTAAGGCCAATATCAGAAACCTGGCAAAGGGAAACTGTTTAGTCCAGCTGTTCACACAATGAATAAAATGTAAATTCACTAAGACTGTTCCTGTGCAGGCTCACACCTGTAATCTCAATACTTTGGGAGGCTGAGGCAGGTGGATCACTTGAGCCCAGGAGTTTAAGATCAGCCTGGGCAACATGGCAAAATCCCATCTCTAAAAAAAAAAAAGAACAAAAATTAGCCAGGCATGGTGGTGCGCACCTATAGTCCCAGCTACTCGGGAAGCTGAAGTGGATGGCTTGAGTCCAGGAGACAGAGGTTGAGTTGTGATCATACCACTGCACTCCAGCCTGGGTGAGCCAGAGCCTATCTCAAAGATAAAGACTCCTGAATCCAAAAAAGGTTTTAATCATGATGCATTTTCCTCATCAGAAGTCCAAAACATGTATCAAAATTGCCTGATAGTGACTACCATCATTTAATACATTTGAGTGCCTTCCACTTTGAATTTCCTTATTATTTATTAACCACACACAGGGGGCACTTAGTACACGTCGTATTGAACAGTCTCACTCCCAGAGCTGGAGTTAAAGTTTCTAGATGATCTATAACTTACTCTTCTCGACATCTCACTAAAAATAACTGATCTGGCATGATCCTTAACCTATATTAGGAAAAAACAAAAACAAAAACAAAAATACCAGATCTGTCAGACTGAAATAAATATTTCTTTTTTTTTAAATTTTTTTGAGACAGAGTCTCACACCATTGCCTAGGCTGGAGCACAGCAGCGCAATCTCGGCTTACTGCCTCCGCCTCCCAGTTTCACGTGATTCTCCTGCCTCAGCCTCCTGGGTAGCTGGGATTACAGGCACCCACCACCACAGCTGGCTAATTGTTTCTACTTTTAGTAGAGACTGGGTTTCACTGTGTTGGCCAGGCTGGTCTCGAACTCCTGACCTTATGATCTGCCTGCCTTGGCCACCCAAAGTGCTGGGATTACGAGCCACTGTATCCAGCCAAATATTTCTTATATTGGATTAACCTTGGTTATCTTCAAATGAGCAAGAGTTAGTTTTGAACTACCCCAGGGAATACAGTGAGGCGATGATGGTTTTCTTGAACCACCCTAACCACCAAGACAAAAGCAGCCTTACCTTTGCATCTGGCACCTGGGCACCAAGGTTGCTGAGTCCCACGACAGAGTAGAAGGCAGATTCCAAATTTGTGAAAGGGCGGTCCAGCGAGGCTTTCAGTCTCTCCACGTCATGCTTGGTGAGGTAGTGAGTGGGCGTCAGAGCCTGGCTGATGGCTATGATTGTCAGGGCCAACAGGATGACAGTGCTTGAACCTTGGGGGGAAATTACTATTCAGTATATTTCACTCTTCCAAGGTGCTATACACAGTCCCAATGATGATATGCACCAATATCTGGGAACCAAATCACATGGGAAAGGGCAAGGGAACCAGGGGGTTTAACCTGAGGAGAAGCCTTGGGGAGCGGGGGAGTCTGCTCTTCAGCTGGTGAAAGGACAGTCCTCCTAGCAGCCTCCAGGTATGTAAAGTACAGGCTTATGCCACTATTCCCATTTAAAAGATGTCCATAAGTCCTCTGCCTCTAAGGAAAACCCCACCTGAATCCTCACACCTTGCCGGCCTCTCAACCAGATCTCCTCCCTTACGCTTCCCACCATCTGTTGCTCTCTGGCTTCTTCTCTGTCCTTTAAGAAGCCAGGTTCTTTCCTGTCCAGTATTTTTTCATGCTTTCTCCTACCTCAGCTTTGCTTAATTTTTACTTTCAGAATTCAGCTCAAACATGTCTTCTTCCAGAAGCTTTCCCTTGGCGTGGCACAGTGGCTCACACCTGTAATCCCAGCACTTTGGGAGGCCAAGGTGGGTAGATCACTTGAGGTCAAGAGTTTGAGACCAGCCTGGCCAACATGATGAAACCCCATCTCTTACTAAAAACACAAAAATGAGCCGGGCGTGGTGGTCGGCACCCGTAATCCCAGCTACTCGGGAGGCTGAAGCGGGAGAGTTGCTTAAACCTGGGAGGCGGAAGTTGCAGTGAGCCAAGATCGGGCCATTGCACTCCAGCCTGGGTGACAAAGCAAGACCCCATCTCAAAAAAGAAACAAAACCAAAAAACTCTCCCTAGGATTAGGTCCCAGTATAATAAAGTCAGAAAGAACCCAGGCTCTGGGGCCAAGCTTAAATCGCAGCTCTGCTACTTATTAGCAATGTGGCCTTGGCAGTTATTCAGCTAGCTGGTACCTCAGTTTCCTCAAGTATAAAGTGGTATAGTAACAGTATCTCCCTCAGGGATGGTTACACGAGTTAATATAGAAAGATTTGGCCAGGCACAGGGGCTCACAACTGCAACCCCAGCACTTTGGGAGGCTGAGGCAGGTGAATCACCTGAAGTCAGGAGTTCAAGGCTAGACTGGCCAACATGGTGAAACCCTGTCTCTACTAAAAATACAAAAAAATTAGCTGGATGTGGTGGCGTGCGCCTGTAATCCCAGCTACTGAGGAGGCTGAGGCAGGAGAATCACCTCAACCTGGGAGATGGAGATTGCAGTGAGCAGAGATGACACCACTGCACTCCAGCCTAGGTGACAAGAGCAACAATCCAACTCAAAAAAAAAAAAATCTTACAACAATGACGGCACATAACAAGTGCTATATCAATGTTAACTACTATTTCTACTACCATTATTACTGTTGTTGTTATATCCACTCATAGCAATCAGTACTTCTCTTATGCGGAATTTTCTATAACTTTAACAGTGTAATGTCTGATTTCTCTGCTAAACTGTGAGTTCCATGAGGATAAAGACTGCTTCTTTCAGTTCATCCCAAGTCTTGCACACTGCCTGGCGCATAGCAGGTACTGAATAAATGGAAAGAAAAATTAATCCCCATCTATGATACCCGAGGGGACAGGAAGTTAAAGGAGTGGTACATTTCTATTTCATTTATTTTAAAAAAACAAAACAAAAAACACTTTTGAATGGACTGCTTCTTAATAAAGTACATTGTCTGCCACCCAAGTAACAGCAATAACAAACAATCACTGGGCCAAGATGAAAGGCCCCAGCAGTTCAAGACCAGACTGGGCAACATGGTAAAATCCTGTCTCTATAAAAAAGAAAAATTAGCCAGGCATGGTGATTGTGAGCCTGTGGTCCCAGCTACTCAGGAGGCTGAGGTGGGAGGACTGCTTGAGCCCAGGAGGTTGAGGCTGCAGTGAGCCGTGATTACGTCACTGCACTCCAGCCTGGATGACAGAGCAAGATCGTCTCTCAAAAAGAGAAAAAAAGAAAAAAATCTATCATGCAGCGTATTCATCAAATGTATATTGAATGTTACTATATGCCACACACTACTTGAGGTGTAAAAAATACAAAAGGAAACAAAAGAAACAAAACTCCTGCCATTCATAGAGCTTGTATTCTAGTTACAAAATAAAGACCTCACATGAAATAAGAAATATTGTTCATCACATTAGAAGGTAAAAGTGCTGTGGAAGAAAAATAAAGTAAAGATGAGATATTTGGGAATGGCTGCATTTTAAATACAGTAGTCTGTGAAGGCCTAAGTAAGAAATAAACATATTGAATATAGACCTGAAGGAGAAGCAAGTCATAAAGATATCTGGTGGGAAACTATGCCAAGAAGAAAATCCCAGTGTGGCCAGGTGCGGGGGCTCACGCCTCTAACTGCAGCAGTGGAGGCCGAGGAGGAAGGATCATCTGAGGTCAGGAGTTTGAGACCAGTCTGGCCAACATGGTAAAACCCCATCTCTACTAAAAATACATAAAATTAGCCAGGCATGGTAACTTGCACCTGTAATCCCAGCTACTCAGGAGGTTGAGGCACGAGAATCACTTGAACCGGGAAGCAGAGGACAACAGTGAGCTTAGATGGCGCCACTGCACTCCAGCCTGGGGCTCTGTCTCAAAAAAGAAAAGAAAAACCAAGTGCAAAGATTCTGAATGAGAAGTATGTAAACATACTTCTGAGATCAGCAGATGTTTTTTGAGATCAGCAAAGACAGTACAGCTTGGGTGGAGTAAGCAAAGGGTTAGAAGTAGATGAGGTGACAGATGTAGCAGAGAACAAATCCAGAGGGCCTTGTATGACACTGTAGTGGAAGCCACTGGAAAGTTCTAAGCAGAGGAGTGATTTGACTTACAGGCTAATGGGATTACTGTGCTGAGAATAAACAATACTGTGTCGAAAACAGACCACGCAGGAGCAAGGTCAGAGCAGGGGACACCAGTTGGGAGACTACCGCCACAGTCCAAGCCAGAAGACGGTGGTGGTCCAAACCAGGGTGACAGCAGTGAAGGTGATGAGAAGTGATGAGAGTTAGTCTGGCTAGAATTCAAAGTCAAAGCCTAGGCCGGGCGTGATGGCTCATGCTTGTAATCCCAGCACTTTGGGAGGCCAAGGCGGGCATATCACAAGGTGGGAGGATCACAAATTCAGGAGTTCAAGACCAGCCTAGCCAAAATGGTAAAACCCCATCTCTACTAAAAATAAATAAATTAGCTGGGAATGGTAGTGGGCACCTGTAATCCTAGCTGCTTAGGAGGCTGAGGCAGAAGAATCACTTGAAACTGAAAGGCAGAGGTTGCAGTGAGCCGAGATAGTGCCACACACTCCAGCCTGGGTGAAAGAGTAAAACTCCATTTCAGAAAGAAAAAAAAGTCAAAGCCTATCAGAACTGCTAATAAATAGAAAGATGCAAGAGAAAGAGGAATCAAGATACTAATGCTGAGCCCCCAATGCCTTGTGTACATGGAGTTACCCTGAAGATCTAGTGAATGAGCCAGGCACGGTGGCTCACGCCTGTAATCCCAGCACTTTGGGAGGCCGGGGCAGGCAGATCATGAAGTCAAGAGATCGAGACCATCCTGGCCAACACGGGTGGTCTCCCGGGTTGAAATCCCGTCTCTACTAAAAATACAAAAATTAGCTGGGCGTGATGGCACGCGCCTATAGTCCCAGCTACTTGGAAGGCTGAGGCAGGAGAATTGCTTGAACCCCGTAGGCAGAGTTTGCAGTGAGCCGAGGTCCCGCCCCTGCATTCCAGCCTGGCGCCCGGCGTTGGAGCAAGATCTGTCTCAAAAAAAAAAAAAAAATCTAGTGAATGATTGTGACTAGCATTTTCCCACCTAGACCATAAATTCCCCTAATAGCACCTGTGTCAGAAGCCTAATCTTCTCACTCCATGTTAATGAAAGCAGTAATTTTTTTGACTAAAAGTTGAGCCCTTAATGTGTTGGGTATGCCCATGCTATGCTGTGCTTTGCAGACACCAAATCATTAAATCCTCACAATATACAACTAAGGTGGCTATTTTCTGCATTTTACAGAGCAGGAAAGTGAAGCACAGAAGTAGTTACCTGCCCTAGGACGCATAATGGAGAATCAAACTGAGGCAATTTGAATCCAAAGTCTACTTTTAACCACTTTACTATCCTGAACTTCTCAAATAATGAAATGGTGAGCCACTGACTCATTCATGTGTCATTTTGGGCAAGTAAGTTCCCTTCCGTGGGATTCCAATTTCCCATCTGTCAATATATAATGACAACAGCACATGCTTCCAAAGTCGTGATGAGGCTACATGAGATTCCACCCTGCAGAGTCCACTCAGTAACTTCTAATACAGTTAACTTTACTGAGTTCTTACTTAGTGCCATGCACTGTTCCGAACTATGCACGAAGATTTCACTTAATAGAGCAACTGCAACGAGGCAGATAACGTGGCTAACTTGACTAACTTATTTTACAGATGAGAAACTGAGATGCAGAGGTATTAAGTAACCTGCTTTGGGTCACACAATGAATACGACTCCGCCCGCAAGTCTGCACCCAGAGCGTAACTTCAGAATATACTCCAAGCTCACAGAGAGAAGTGAGGGGTTTTCCTTGCCCCTTTCACTGAAGGGGAAACTACAGCCCAAAGAAGGACGATCTGCCCAAAACCTCAGACGGAATAAGGCGCGGCGCCGGGACCAGAACCTTAGGCCGCCAGGTCCAGGAGCCCGCGCGAGTGAAATTAGTGAGGCCAGGCCTACTGGCTGAGACCGCAGTACCCCCGGCTGGGCCTCGGGGCGACCCGTAGCTCCGGGCTGCACCCCCCTCCCCCAGGCACCAACCCCGACAGGTAACCGGCACTCCCCACCAGCTCGCAGGCCTCCTGCGGACCCTCGACCCGAGAACGCCCCCACGCAAGCCTGTGCCCATGCCCGTGTCCCGCAGGGGAAGAGGATCCCGCCTGGCCGGCTCCCGAACAGCGGCCAGTAGCCTCCCGCGGGCGACGGCCCTCTCCCGAAAGAAGTGCCGGCCGCGGGGCCCTGCCAACTAGCCACGCGCAACTCCTCACCCGGCAGCGCCATTCCGCCGTGCAGGTCCCGCCGGAGTCCAAGCCGCAGGCTGACTTCCGCTTGGGAAAGCGGCTCCAAGAAACCGCCGCAGGGGACGGCAGGAACTCGCAGCAGGCTCTGCGGGACAGGATGAGTTCTAAGCAAGGGTCAGTGTCCGTGGCCCCGCTAAGGCTGGACGCTTCAAGCAGCCGAGGCCGGGATCCCAGTCCTCGTGCGCACAGAGCCTCGTAGTTCCCGAGGACAGACCCGTTTCCCCCCCCGCGCCCAAGCCCACTTGAAAGCGACCGTCTCCGAAACGGTCCTATTCCGGGAGCTATCGGGACGCGATTGGGCCAGACTTCTGGGCGGGCCCGAGACGGGGCCGCTTCTGATTGGCCGATATGCCGTCATTCAATTGTATTTCTTCAGCCCGGCCCATTTTAAAGGAACAAGAAAGGTCTCGTTGGGAGGGGAGAGCAGTATTAGGAGGGATTTTCTTTTTTTTCTTTAGAAAATCGTGGCAGTTTCTGGCCCGGCGCAGTGGCTCACGGCTGTAATCCCAGCACTTTGGGAGGCCGAGACGGGCAGATGGCTTGAGGTCAGGAGTTCGGGATCAGCCTCGGCAACATAGTGAAAACCGGTCTCCACCAAAAATACAAAAATTAGCCGAGCGTGGTAGCGAAGCGCCTGTAATCCCAGCTACTCGGGAGGCTGAGGCAGGAGAGTCGCTGGAACCCGTGGGGTGGAGGTTTCAGTGAGTCGAGATCGCGCCATTGCACTGCAGCCTGGGCAACAAGAGTGAATCTCCATCACACCAATACATACACACACACACACACACACACACACACACACACACACACACACAGAGAGAGAGAGAGAGAGAAATAAATAAATAATGTCAGCCAAGGGAAGGAGGAAGGGAAAAATAAATTATGTCAGTTCCTTCCAAAGATTATCACTTGGGTTGTTAATAACTGACCTATGAGTGATATTTTATCTGATTTGCAGAGCAATTCAGTGACTCCTAGAGAACATATTAGGCCAGTTTTACAGACTCAACCTGAAAGTGGCTCATGCAGGAACACAGCTCTAGTAACTAGCGCTAATTATTGAATGTTTACTGTGTAAGCCAACACTGTGCCGAGCGCTCTACAAACATTATTTTCTTTCCTTTTTTATTGATACTGGGTCTTGCTCTGTCGCCCAGGCTCGAGTGCAGTGGTGCGATCACAGCTCACTGCAGCCTCGACATCCTGGGCTCAAGCGATCCTCCCACCTGAGCCTCCTGAGTAGCTGGGACCACTGGCACGCATCATGATGCCCAGCTAATCTTTTAAAATTATTTTTGGTAGATACTGTGTCTCACTTTGTTGCCCAGGCTGGTCTGGAACTCCTGGGCTCAAACGACCCTCCCGCCTTAACCTCCCAAAGTGCTGAGATTACAGGCTAATCTCATTTTAAAGAGAAGGAAACAGATTTGAACCTAGGCAGTCTGACTCCAGAATCTGTGCTTTTAACCACAGTATTATGAACATATAAAGTGTACACTATATGATAACTGTTATTAACGTTTTTATTGTCCCAAATATATATTTTATATATATATATATATATATATATATATATTTTTTTTTTTTTTTTTTTTTGAGACGGAGTTTCGCTCTTGTAACCCAGGCTGGAGTGCAATGGCGCCATCTTGGCTCACCGCAACCTCCGCCTCCTGGGTTCAAGCAATTCTGCTGTCTCAGCCTCCCGAGTAGCTGCGACTACAGGCGTGCGCCACCATGCCCAGCTAATTTTTGTATTTTTAGTAGAGACGGGGTTTCACCATGTTGACCAGAATGGTCTTGATCTCTTGACCTCGTGATCCACCTGCCCCGGCCTCCCACAGTGCTGGGATTACAGGCGTGAGCCACCACGCCCGTCCTTGTCCCAAATATTTTTATCCAGCATGGGAGAGAGTCAGTTCTTTCTGTGTCTATTATAATAGCAACTAGCCTTATGTGGATGTTTAAATTTGAATTTAAATGAATTAATATTAAGTAAAATTTAAAATTCAGTCTCTTATTTGTACTAGCTGCCATATTTCAAGTCCTCAGTAGCCACAGAGAGCTAGTGGATATCAGACTGGACAGCTCAAAATTATAGGACATCTCCATTATCACAGAAAGTTCTACTGGGCAGTGCTGATCTAGAATACATAAAGAATTCTCCCAACTCAAGAATAAGACAACCAAGCAGTGGTGTGCTGGAGCTGTCTCATACTGTCTTTAGAGAGTCAATTGTTAAATTTTTAGTAATTTTGCAAATTGGTTAAATACAACCATTTAGAAAATTATATCAACTTATCATGAAATGAAGTATATTAGAAACAAAACTGATTATTTCCTAATTATTCCACTACATTTTACATTTGCTGTGTTTTTGTGGTTGTTTATATCTATTGTAACTGTGTGGTGGAAATATATGAAGGCATGCCATTGCACATCTCTTCCCAAGGCAGTATTGGTAGCTAGCTTTTGGCCATGATGGAAATATTTACACCGTAGAATCAGCATATGCAGCCAGGAATGGTGGCTCAGTCTGTAATCCCAGAGTTTTCGGGAGGCTCGGGTAGGAGGATCACCTGAGTCCAGGAGTTAAAGACCAGCCTGGGCAACACAGCAAGAACCTACCTCTGCAAAAAAAAAAAAAAAAAAAATTAATTAGCCAGGTACGGTGGCTTGCATCTGTGGTCCTAGTGACTAGGGCCACAGATGGGAGCCGCCACACTTGAATTATTTAAATGAAAACGAAGAAAAAGAGAAAAAACAAAAAGACCAACAACAGCAAATCCTGGCAAGGACGTGGAACAACAGGATCACTCATCCTGCTGATGAGAATGTAAAGTGCTACAACCATTTTGAAAACAAATTGACAGCTTCTCTGTTGTTGTTTTTTGTTTGTTTGTTTTGAGGCAAAGTTGCTCTGTCACCCAGGCTGGAGTGCAATGGCACAATCTCGGCTCACTGCAACCTCCACCTCCTGGGTTCAAGAGATCCTCCTGTCTCAGCCTCCCAAGTAGCTGGGATTACAGACACACAAAATTTGTTTTGTATTTTTAGTAGAGATGGGGTTTCACCATGTTGGCCAGGCGGGTCTTGAACTCCTGACCTCAAGTGATCCACCCACTTCAATCTCCCAAAGTGCTGGGATTACAGGCCACTGGTTATTATTTTTTAAGAGGCAAGGTCTCTATCTGTCACTCAGACTGGAGTACGGTGATGGGATCATAGCTTACTGCTGCCTTCAACTCTGGGGCTCTAGGATCCTCATGCACTGGCCTCCTGAGTAACTGGGGCTACAGGCACATGCTACCACGCCCAGCTAATTTTTTAAAAATTGTTTGTAGAGATCGTGTTTTGCTTTGTTACCCAGGCTTTGTCTCAAACTCTTGGCCTCAGGCAATCCTTTTACCTTAGCCTCCCAAAGGCACTGGGATGACAGGCATGAGACACAGCACTTGACCAGGCACCCTCTGAAGAAGTCAGTTATACGATCTACCACACAACCCAATCATTCTGCTCCTAGAGGGTTTCTTTGTTTTTAATTAACTCATTTTGTATTAAAGAAATATATGCATGCAGGACAAAGTTCAAACTTTATTGGTTTGGAGTTTCCTTCCAAAATTGTTTTATTGGCCAGGTGCGGCAGTTCACTCCTGTAATCCCCACACTTTGGGAGGCCAAAGTGGGCAGATGACCTGAGGTCAGGAGAGACCAGCCTGGCCAAACATGGCAAAACCTCATCTCCACTAAAAATATAAAAATTGACCAGGTATGGTGGGGCACCTGTAATCCCAGCTACTCAGGAGGCTGAGGCCTGAGGATCACTTGAACCCAGGAGGCAGAGTTTGCAGTGAGCCGAGATTGTACAACTGCACTGCAGCCTGGGAGACAAAGCGAGACTCTGTCTCAAAAAAAAAATTAAAAGTAAATAAATACATAATTTTTAAAAAGTAATTCCAGCTGGGCCCGGTGCCTCACGCCTGTAATCCCTGCACTTTGGGAGGCCAAGGCGGGCGGATCACAAGGTCAAGAGTTCGAGACCATCCTGGCCAACATGGTGAAACCCTGTCTCTACTAAAAAATACAAAAATTAGGGCCGGGCGCGGTGGCTCACGCCTGTAATCCCAGCACTTTGGGAGGCCGAGGCAGGTGGATCACGAGGTCAAGAGATCAAGACCATTCTGTTCAACATGGTGAAACCCCGTCTCTACTAAAAATACAAAAAATTAGCTGGGCATGGTGGCGCGTGCCTGTAATCCCAGCTACTCAGGAGGCTGAGGCAGGAGAATTGCCTGAACCCAGGAGGCGGAGGTTGCAGGTGAGCCGAGATCGCGCCATTGCACTCCAGCCTGGGTAACGAGCGAAACTCCGCCTCAAAAAAAAAAAAAAAAAAAAAAAAAAAGACAAAAATTAGCTGGGCCTCATGGCACACGCCTGTAGTCCCACCTACTTGGGAAGCCGAGGCAGGAGAATTGCTTGAACCCGGGAGGCAGAGGTTGCAGTGAGCTGAGATTGTGTCACTGCATTCCAGCCTGGCAACAGAGTGAGACTCCATCTCAAAAAAAAAAAAATTAATTCCATAAGTTATTTTTTTGTTTTTGTTTTTCTTCTAGAGACAGATTCTCTCTGTCACTCAGGCTGGAATGCAGTGGTGCCATCATAGCTCACCGCAGTCTTTTTTTTTTTTAATTGCATTTTAGGTTTGGGGGTACATGTGAAGAACATGCAAGATTGTTGCATAGGTACACACGTGGCAGGCTCACTGCAGTCTTAAACTCCTGCGCTCAAGGAATCTCCTGCCTCAGCCTCCTGAGTAGCTAGGACTACAGGCATAGGTCACCATGCCTGGCTAATTTTTTACTTGTTTGTAAAGATGAGATCTCACTGTGTTGCCCAGGCTGGTCTCAAAGTCCTGAGCTCAAGTAATCCTCCTGCTTCAGCCTCTCAAAATCCTGAGATTACAGAGTGAGCCACCATGCCCAGCCTCCATAAGATTTTTCATGTATGCCAACATTTGTGTGTGTATGTGTGTGTGTGTGTGTGTGTGTGTGTTTCTGTGTATATACACAAATTCTTATTACTTTTGTGAAAACATTGTTTTGTTTTAATAAAACGTGTCATATCCATGGTTGGACAGCTTGCTTTTTCATCTATCCTAGACATTCAGTAAATAGAGGCTTGCTCAGTCATTCACTCTAGCAGTAATTGTTGAGCACTTCTGTATGTCACTGTTCTAGACTCCTGGTACATTTATGAACAAAGCAGCCAAAGATTCCTATTCTTGCCCTCATGAAGCTTATGTTTTAGCGGGAGGAAATAAATGACAAACAATGAACATTGTAAATAAGTGAAAGGTATATTGGAAGGTGTTATGTGCTATGGGAAAAAGGAAAAGTAGGAAAGGGTAAGGAGGATACAAGGAGTTACTGAGGTGTTCTATCTCAATCTTGGTGGTTTTTTTTTTGTTTTTTGTTTTTGAGATAGAGTCTCATCATGTCACCCAGGCTGGAGCACAGTGGTGTGATCTCAGCTCACTACAACCTCCACCTCCCAGTTCAAGTAATTCTCCTGCCTGAGTCTCCTAAGTGGCTGGGATTACAGGCATGTGCCACCATATACTCAGCTGATTTTTGTCTTTTTAGTGTAGATGGGGTTTCACCATGTTGGCCAGGCTGGTCTCAAACTCCTGACCTCAGGTGATCCGCCTGCCTCAGCCTCCCAAAAAGCTGGGATTACAGGCCTGAGCCACCACGCCTGGCTGTTTCCTTTTTTGAGATGAAGTCCCACTCTGTCGCCCAGGCTGGAGTCCAGTGGCACCATCTCAGCTCACTGCAACCTCTGGCGTTCTAGCAATTCTCCTGCCTCAGCCTCTCATGTAGCTGGGATTACAGGCAAGTGCTGCAACGCCCAGCTATTTTTTGTATTTTTAGTGGAGAAGGGGTTTCACCATGTTGGCCAGGCTTGTCTCAAACTCCTGATTTCAGGTGATGCACCCACCTCGGCCTCCCAAAGTGCTGGGATTACAGGTGTGAGCCACCACGTCCAGTGTTGTTTTTAACAGCAGCATAGTATTTCTTTCTTATCCATTCACTCCTAATGAGACTGACAACATGCTAGGTCCTGGGGCTACAACTGTGACCATGTAGACAAGGTAATGGAGTTTACAGTCTGATAGAAGTCAAACAAATCAACACAAATGAGCAAGGTAATTGTAGGTGATGGTTAAATACTATGAAAAAAATAAGGTAACTGTCGGGCCAGAATGACGGGAGCTACTTTCTCTGGATTGGTGATGAATAAATGCTTCTCTCAGAAAGTGACATTTAAGCTTTCAAATGAATGACGGGCCGGAAGCAGTCCTAGAAAACTAATTTTTCGAATCCCCTCTTTGTTCCTAGGACCTGTAGTCCGGAAGTAGTAACAATCCCGTGTGCTTCTGACAGTGATTCAGGAAGTGTGGATTTGCAGCTGGGCAACTTAGAGGCTATTAAAAAAGGCTCAAGTAGCATTGAACTTACAGGTAAAAAGCGGAAAGGAGCGGAAAGGGGAAGGGAGGGGAAAAGAGAATCTATTTTCAACTCAGGCCAAGAGGTATTGATTGAGTACTTGCTGGGTGACCAGCCCTTAACTAGACTTTGATGATGAATTTGGTCCCTGACTTTGAGACCTTGAAATACATTTGGCAAAATCAGATGAGATACGTGGCTCCTAATGTACAGGAAACAAAGCTTGGTCCTGAGACAGACAGTTCTAGAGAAGAGTCTGAGAGCTCGAGGGATTCTGAGGAGGGAAAAGGTGGTGTGGGATGCTTGAGAGTGGGAGGACTTCATGCAGAAGGTGGGATCTGAATTGGACATCAGAATAATTTTCATTCCACAAAATATTCATTGGGTACCAGGAGCTGGGAATACGACAGTGAACGTGACTGACAGGGTCACTCCCCTCATAGAACTTGCATTATTGTGCAGAAAAAAGACCCATAAGAGTAAACAGACAGTCACTGAAGTAACTACAACTTGTAGTAAGCAGCATGGAAAAAGAGGCTGAGACCAAAAATTAGGGAGATGGGAACCTACTTGAAACTCTGGTTGTCAGAGATCACTTGTATGAGACTGAGTGTTATTTAAACCTAAAGGAGATCTGAAAGATAGCAGAGTAACCCATGTGAGTAGAGGGAGTACTACAGATAGATGGGACCACATGAGCATGAGCAGGAAAAGATCTTGGCGTGTTTGAAGAACTACCTTCATTCATTCATATACTCATTCAGCAAATACTTATTGAAGCCCTCCTGTGCTCTAAACTTAATCTAGCAGCTAGAGATATAGCCGCAAACAGAACAGACACAATATACTTACAGATGGGCCAGGCATAGTGGTTCACTCCTGTAATCTCAGCACTTTGGGAGGCCGACATGGGTAGATCACGAAGTCAGGCATTCAAGACCAGCCTGGCCAATATGGTGAAACCCCATCTCTACTAAAAATATAAAAAATTAGCCAGGCATGGTGGTGAGCACCTGTAATCCCAGCTACTCTGGAGGCTGAGGCAGGAGAATCGCTTGAACCCAGGAGGCGGAGGTTATGGTGAGCAGAGATCACACCACTGCACTCCAGCCTGGGCAACAGAGCAAGACTCCATCTAAAAAATATATATGTATATGTATTTACAGATGAACAGGCAATTGGAGCTCAGTGTAATTAGTGTGATAGGGGTAGGGGACCCAGAGTGGATACAGACCAGTTTATTAGTGACTAGGGGATACTTAGCCAAAATGGACAAAAAGGGGACACAGGAAAGGCCTCCTAGAGCTGAGACTTGAAGGATGAGTAGGAGTTAGCAAGGCAAAGGTAGGTAAGGGAAGGTGGGGGAAAAGAAGCAGAAAAATGTAGGCAGAAGGAACAGCCTGTGCAAAGATGAGAATGAGAACATGGTCTCAATTATTGCAATTAGTGGATAAGAGGATTATGGCAGGAAGTGGGTAGAGGTTGCAGAAGAGGCATTCAAGAAATCAAAAAGAATACAAAAATAGAATGGCGGCTCATGCCCATAATCCTAGCACTTTGGGAGGCTGAGGTGGGTGGATCACATGAGGTCAGGAGGTCAGGAGTTCAAGACCTCGCCTGGCCAACATAGCAAAACCCCATCTCTACTAAAAATACAAAAATTAGCCCTGGGCATGGTGGCATGTGCCTGTAGTCCCAGCTGCTCGGGAGTCTGAGGCACAAGAATCACTTGAGCCCGGGAGGCAGAGGTTGCAGTGAGCAAAGATCGTGCCACTGTACCAGCCTGAGTGACAAAGTGAAACTCCATCTCAAAAAAAAAGAATGGTAAAAATCTTCAGATGAAAGATGTGTTAAGGGAAGAATATTACCAGAATCAGTTCTTTCCATGTATTACCTCATTTAATCCTTATAGTAACCCTGTTTTACAGACGAGGAAACCTAGGTTTCAAGACGCAAACTAACTTGATGAAGGTCATACAAGTAGTAAGTGATAGAACCAAGATTCAAACTGGTCTCAAACTGAGTTTTAAGGCCACGCTCCTAACCATTCTGCTACAGCTCAGTCCCAAAGGTTTTTGTAGCTTAGGAGGCCCTTAGAGAATATTGAATTTATAATTGAGAAAACTGAGTCTAGGAGAAGGGATCGGACTTGGTTAAGGTCATAGAGCAAGTAGTAATGGAAGAGCCAGTGGTACTCCCCACTAAACCTCATCACTTTACACAGTACAGAGGCATCATCCAGTGTCTTTCTTTCAATGTTAGACTCAGACATCCCTGACATCCCTGGACTCCATTGGGAGTCCCTGTCAGATAGCCCCAGACACCTGACCCACCAGAACCCGCTCAATGAGGCCATTGTTGAGAAGTTGATCCAGTCCATCCAGGAGGTTTTCAGTGGTGAGCTAAAGGTATGCACAAGCAATTTTTATGAGTTATTTAACTTATTCCTCCGTTTTAACAAAATTTTAAACATATTATTTCTTTATTATGCAAATAATTTTATATTATAGGTTATAAAACATATTTGTACATTGATGTTTTATATTTATATTTATAAAATATATTTATATATGTTATATTTACATATATATTTATGCAATTAATGTAAAAACAAAAAAAACATAATAAAATTAAAAGCTGTAATCCCAATCTCCTCAGATAACTACTGGTGACATTTTGGTTTATATTTTTTTAGGCTTTTTTTTTTTTTTTGAGATGAAGTCTCGCTCTGTCACCCAGGCTGGAATGCAGTGGCAAAATTTTGGCTCACTGCAACCACTGCCTCCCAGGTTCAAGCGATTCCCATGCCTCAACCTCCCAAGTAGTTGGGTTTACAGGCACGTGCCACCATTGCCCAGCTAATTTCTGTATTTTTAGTAGAGACAGGTTTCATCATGTTGACCAAGCAGGTCTTGAACTCCTGACCTCAAGCAATACACCTGCCTCAGCCTCCCAAAGTGCTGGGATTACAAGCAAGAGGTACTGTGCCCAGTCCTCTATGGCTTTTAAATCCCATTCACCCAATCAACAAGTAACGAATGAGCAGTTACCATTTATAATGCACTGGGCTAGATGCGTGGAAGAAGTTGGAGTAATAAGATTTAAGTCTATTCACAGATAAACAAACTGGGCCACAAACAGAGTGAGACCCTGTCTCAAGAAATAGAATTTATGCGAACCTGTCTCAAGAACTAGAGACCCTGTCTCAAGAAATAGAATTTATGAGACCCAGTCTCAAGAACTAGAGACCCTGTCTCAAGAAATAGAATTCTCGAGATAGGGTCTCATAAAATAGAATACTATTCAGCAATAAAAGGAGGGAACTATTGACACAACAACATAGATGAATCGCAGAGACATTGTGTTGAGTGAAAGAAGCCAATCACAGGTTAAAGAATGTATAATTCCAGTTGCGTGACTTTCTTTTTTGTTGCTGTTTTTGTTGTTGTTGTTGTTGTTGTTGTTGTTGTTGTTGTTGTTGTTGTTGTTTGAGACGGAGTTTCGCTCCTGTTACCCAGGCTGGAGTGCAATGGCGCAATCTTGGCTCACCGCAACCTCTGCCTCCTGAGTTCAGGCAATTCTCCTGCCTCAGCCTCCTGAGTAGCTGGGATTACAGGCACGCACCACCATGCCCAGCTAATTTTTTGTATTTTTGGTAGAGATGGGGTTTCACCATGTTGACCAGGATGGTCTCGATCTCTCGACCTTGTGATCCACCTGCCTCGGCCTCCCAAAGTGCCGGAATTACAGGCTTGAGCCACCGCGCCTGGCTGTTTTTTTTTTTGTTTTTGTTTTTGTTTGTTTTTTTTTTTTTTGAGACAAAGTCTCGCTCTGTCACCCTGGCTGGAGTGCAGTGGTGCCATCTTGGGTCACTGCAACCTCCGCCTTCCAGGTTCAAGCAATTCTCATTCATCAGCCTTCCAAGCAGCTGGGACCACAGGCATGCACCACCATGCCTGGCTACTTTTTGTGTTTTTAGTAGAGACAGGGATTTATCATGTTGGTCATGCTAGTCTGGAACTCCTGACCCCAGGTAATCTGTCCACCTTGGCCTCCCAAAATTCTGGGATTACAGGCATAAGCCACTGCGCCTGGCCTAGGAAGTTTAATCAGAACAACACTCCCCAGAGAGGCAGGTGGAAAAGCAAAGACTAAAGGTGGGGAGAGCCAGGCTGGAACATGGAGCTGAGAGCAGAGCTGAGGTCCCAAAGCAAGGCAGGACCAGTGGACAAGGAATTTCACTGAAATCTCTGTCATTTACTCATTCCTTATAACAAAAGACCGATCCTGGATTGAAAGAGATGTCAGATATTTAAAGCATTCCAAGAAACTTTTCAAAAGCTCTCTACAGTTATCAAATAAAGGTGTAACGTATAATTGTATTTTTATCATTTTTCCGCAAATTCAGGGTGAACTTGAAAAGCTGACATTCCTAAGATCTCTGTCTTCTCTCAGCCAAGCTTTACCTTATAATGAAACCACAGAATCATTCATTTGCAGCCACATCACAGATATTGTGCATACCTTACATGTAAGTATTATGACCTTACCACAAATGATTGGGATCACACAAATTCAATGATGTGGCCAAAACATTTTTTAGTGGCTTTCCCTATGTTATCAATCCATTTGAACTCTTCTTGTATCAGTATCTCTGCATGGAGGAGAAATACTCACAGCTACCCCACACATGTGATCACCCTTGAAAACCAATTACAAGAAAATTAGAAAGGACAGGAACAGCATTTGAATTTCTCAGCAAAGCCAATGCTACATTCTCATGAATCAAGCAGTATTTCCCAGACAGTCACCATAATCGAATGCCTGGGTTCAGGTGACAGCCCTGCCTCTTTATAGCTATGTCACTGTAAGAAATTACTTCACTTCTCAATGCCTCAGTTTCCTCATCTATAAAATAAGAACAGCTATATTGGCCAGGCGCAGTGGTTCATGCCTGTAATCCCAGCACTTTGGGAGGCCGAGACGGGCAGATCGCCTGAGGTTCAGAGTTCAAGACCAGCCTGACCAACATGGAGAAACCCTGTCTCTACTAAAAATACAAAATTAGCTGGGCATGGTAGCACATACCTGTAATCCCAGCTACTCAGGAAGCTGAGGCAGGAGAATCACTTGAACCCGGGAGGTGGAGGTTGCGGTGAGCCGAGATCACACCACTGCACTCCAGCCTGGGCAACAAGAGCAAAACTCCATCTCAAGAAAAAAAAAAATAGCTATATCTGCTTCACAGAGCTATTGTGACCATTAAATAAAAATAAATATAAGCCACGTACCATGGTACCTAGCACACGTGATGAATTTGAGAAACGTGACTCTATTATTGTTGTTGCATTTTGTTCTATTTGTACTTACTCCAGCCATGCTCTGCCACCAACTTATCCATTCATTCCCTCATTAATTGCCTGACAGTTCCAGGAACTGTCCTGGGAATTTGGGTTACAAAGACAAAGACAAAATCCCTGTTTGTGCAGCCAAACAGAGTATTAAGAAATGTCTCAGGGACTGTTACAAGTTTAAATGGGCATATGGAGGGCACAGAGGAGTGAGTGGTCAGTTCCATGTCAAAGGATCCAGAAGGGCTTTGCAAAGGAGCCGATACACTAAGGCAAGTACCTGATGGTGCTTTAGTTTTCTCATCTGTGAAATGTCTCCTTCAATTTCTCTAAAGCTTTAAAATTCTGATGTTGGGATTTCTTATATGCTCCAGGAATATGAGCTGTTCTTTCTTATATCACAGATCTATAAGGCTAATTAGACTGATGGCTTTTGAAATTCAAGGCTAACCAGCTCACAGTTTAAGTAATGGACAGCTACTAGGATCTTCTATATCAAAGTACACTGTGGTGCTTCAATAAAGGTTACGCATTTCCTGGAAACCATAATCCTTGCCCTTGAAGCGTTTACAGTCCATCTGTAAGTGTCCTTACCTCAAAAAGTAAATAGGTTGAGAACTATTCCAAATAATATATTAAGAAGAACAGGATGATGTAACACAGGTTTAAGAACAAATGTAGGAGCTGGGTGCGGCAGCTCAGGCATATAATTGAAACACTCTGGGAGGCCAAGGTGGGCAGATCACTTGAGGTCAGGAGTTTGAGACCAGCCTGGCCAACATGGTGAAACCCTGTCTCTACTAAAAATACAAAAATTAGCTGGGCATGGTGGCAGGCACCTGTAATCTCAGCTTCTCCTGAGGTGGGCAGGAGAATTGCTTGAATGCTGGAGGCGGAGGAGGTTGCAGTGAGCCGAGATTACATCACTGCACTCGCCTGGGTAACTGAGCAAGACTCTGTCTTAAAAAAAAAAAAAGAGTTTGAGACCAGTTTAGGCAATGTGGTAAAACTCAATCTCTGGAAAAAAAAAATACAAAAATCAGCCAGGTATGGTGGTGCATGCCTGTAATCCCAGCTACTAGGGAGGCTGAGGTGGGGGGATCAACTGAGTCAGAGTCAGAGGTTGCAGTGAGCCGAGATCATGCCACTTCACTCCAGCCTGGGTGACACAGTGACACCCCATCTCAAAAAAAAAATGCAGCTTTCTGCTTGGCTGTCCTCCTTGGGAAAAGGGACGGGACGTAGGCAACCATAGGATCCTAGGACCCAGCTAGAGTGGCATGTTTCTAAAGCTCTGTTTTCACCAGACTTGGCAGCAATGGGTTGCCACATGGTTCAACCAGCCAGCTCGTAAAATCCACAAATGCAAGTCTCAACAACAAAAATACACTGAATTGCACACTGAATCTGCATTTGAATCTGTTCACCCAGTAATGAAATGCCCACATCAGATTGACATCAAAGTATAGGTTGGCAAGGGATTCCGCCTAGAAAAGATAAAGGTAGCCAGTCTCCATGAGAAAACTAGATGCATTACTGCAGCATTGTCTAAGTCTACAAAGTTCCTGCAAGCCCACACATGGGGCTGAAAAAGCACAATTCCCAGCAACCAAGGGGGGAGATGCCCAAGAGGAGAAGCAGTTATGCTGAGGACTTGACAATGAGGAAAAAGCCGGGGTCAACATAGAGAAAGAAAACTTTAAGGCGTTTAGCAGTCCTCCTGACCCAAACCAGTGCGTGGCTCCAAATAGCCAAATAAACAAAGCCAAGGAAGCCCATGACAGAAAGTGGAAGGAAGAGGGAAAAAAATTGGTGTGGCACTTAACCAAACATTTCTTTTTTTTGGAAACAGAGTCTCTGTCACCCAGGCTGGAGTGCAGTGGTGCAATCCCGGCTCACTGCAACCTCTGCCTCCCAGGTTCAAGCAATTCTGCCTCAGCCTCCCGAGTAGCTGGGATTGCAGGCACCTGCCACCACGCCCAGCTAATTTTGTGTGTTTTTAGTAGAGACAGGGCTTCACTATGATGCCCAGGCTGGTCTTGAACTCCTGATCTCAGGTGATCCATCCGCCTCGGCCTCCCAAAGGGCTGAGATTACAGGCATGAGTTTACCAAAAATTTCTAAATAAGCACATGAAAAGATGCTGATTATTGTGATCAGGGAAAAGCAAACTAAAACGACAATAAGGTTCAACTATACACCTACTAAAATGGCTGAAATAAAAAAGAAAAGCAATACACTGTTGAGAACTTTAATGAAAAAGAAAAGAGGCTGGGTATGACAGCACCTGCCTGTAGTCCCAGCTACTCTGGAGGCTGAGGCGGGAGGAACACTTGAGCCCAGGAGTTGGAGGCTGTAGTGAGCTATGATCGTGCTTATGAATAGCTACTGCACTGCTGCCTCAGGAACACAGTGAGACCCCCATCTTGAAAGAAAGAGAGAGGTGGTGGGGAGAGAAAGGGAGGGATAGAGAGAGAGAGAGATGGAGAGGGAGGGGGAGAGAGAGAAAAAGAGAGAGGGAGGGAGGAGGGAGGGGAGAAAGAGAGAGGGACGGTGGAGGGAGGGAGAAAAGGAAGGAAGGTAGGTTATGGTAACTGGGATAAAGGAAGGAAGGAAGGAGGGATTAAGGTGAAGTTGTGTTCTTTGTAGGGGGACCACAGTGAACTGACTTTAATGCCAAAATTCTGGGGATTTTAGTGGTTGTGCCCTTGAGATAACCAGGTGTGGGTGAGTAGAGCCCTGGGAGAGCTGTCTGGGCTGAAGACAGAGTCTTAGGCTTTGTCCCTTCCAGACTATAAAGCCACGAAAATAAATGCGCTCTTTGAGGAAATAAGGAAAGAGAGCAGCAGCCTACCAGCAAGATCTAAGTCAGACCAGAGCTGGAAAGCAAAAGGAGAAAAACTCAGAAAGGGGCAAGAAAGGGAACCTTGTAGTGTTTATTGAGCACTCACTGTATCCTAAGTTTTTTTTGTTGTTTTCGAGATGGAGTTTTACTTTTGTTGCCCAGGCTGGAGTGCAGCGGCACTGTCTCAGCTCACTGCAGCCTCTGCCTCCCAGGTTCAAGCGATTCTCCTGCCTCAGCCTCCCAAGTAGCTGGGATTACAGGCATCTGCCACTATGCCTGGCTAAATTTTGTATTTTAGTAGAGATTGGGTTTCACCATGTTGGCCAGGCTGGTCTCGAACTGCTGACCTCGAGTGATTTGCCCACCTCAGTCTCTCAAAGTGCCAGAATTACAGGAGTGAGCCACCGTGCCCAGCCTGCATCCTAAGTTCCTAGCGAGGTCTTTTTTATTAAAGATAAGAGAAATCCTCTAGAAGCCCCTGAAACACAAAAGGTGAGATTTTTTTCTAAGGATGGCTGATTGTTTCCCAGGACCCCTTGAAAGGAGGAGCAGCCTCACCCAGGAAGGGAATGAATCTAGAAAATAAAAACCTTCCACATACTCAAGGTTAGCTTTCTCTCCATCTCTTATTTTTGCTCTCTTGTATGAATTTCCATTTCTACTCTCTCTGTCTTCCTCTCCCCCATCTTCTCTCCCCAAAATTGGCCATCTCAGTTGCCTTATCCATAGGGACCAGTGCTCCTAAATTTAAAATTTTTTTCCTTTAGAAGACCATCCAGACTGAGATTGAAGCTCTTTGTCCCAATTCCAGATTCCAGAGAGAATGTAATTGACCGTCTAAGGCCACACCACCCTGAACGCGCCAGATCTTGTCTGATCTCAGAAGCTAAGCAGGGTTGGGCTTGGTTAGTATTTGGATGGGAGACCACGTAGGAATACCGGCTGCTGTAGGCTTAATAAGATTAAGGAAAAAAAAAAGAAAAGAAAAAAAGAATCTAATTGACCTTGGTGTCTACTCTGGGACAGATGAGCTGTGGCCAGTGGGACTTAGCAGACATATGGCTTTGAGGTGCCCATTTCTATGGGCCAGGGACAGTTCCCAGAGAGGCCTGGTAGACAGTCCAGCCAGGCTTCTGCTACAGTTATATATTTTTTGAGATGGAGTTTTGCTCTTTTTTTCTTTTTTTAGAAGCACCAGAGTCCATGAGGCATTTTATTTGTAAATATATGTATTACATCCCTAAAAAAAGAATCCCAGGATTTTCCCTCCTGTGTGTTTTCGTCTCGCTTCTTCATGGTCCATGATGCCCGCTGAGGTTGTCAGTACAATGAAACCAAACTGGCGGGACGGAAGCAGATTATTCTGCCATTTTTCTAGATCTTTAAGTTGCACATCAGATCTGGGACTGATCACTCCACACTTATTTAGCCTGCCTGTGAGGTTCACAACAATTTTCCCAGCTCTGTAATCATCAGTGATTTCAAATTCACCAATGTAACCATGCTTCATCATCACAGTGAGAAACCGGACAATGACTTTGGAGCATGGCCTAATAAGCACCTGGCATTTGCCTCTCTTTTCGGCATTGTCGATGCTCTTGAGAGCATCTGCCAGGACATTCATGCACACCATTGTGGCGGCACGGAAAGATGGTGGAAAGAGGGAGTTTTGCTCTTTCGCCCAGGCTGGAGTGCAGTGGCACGATCTCGGCTCACTGCAACCTCTGACTCCCAGGTTCCAGCAGTTCTCCTGCCTCAGCCTCCCAAGCAGCTGGGATTATAGGCACCTGCTCTTGAACTCCTGACCTTAAGTGATCCACCCACCTCGGCCTCCCAAAGTGCTAGAATTACAGGCGTGAGCCATCGTGCCCGGCCAGCTAAAGTCATTTACATCAGCTCATTTTCTCCATACAGATAAGGCAACACAGGCACAGGGAGTTAAATGACACACTCAGGCCCGCACAGTGAGTGAGTGGCAGAGCCAGTGCTCAGCCCAGGGACCGTCCTGCTCCAAAGCCCCTGCTTATCACTCCACAGGTTTTTCCATCACAGCAAGGCAGCTTTCCCTCTGCCAGTTTGTAATTTGGAAAATTATTCTTTTTCCAGGACAAGTAACTCAGAATAATATTAGACGTGATCGAAAAGATGGCTGGTTTAGTGGAGAGATGATTTAGAATGCCTAAACTAGAAATAATCGCTGGTGATAAAAATGATGAATAACAGACACTAACAATTACACAGGGCTGCCGGGTATCATGAGTTTGCTCAATGAGTACTCACAGCCACCCCATAAAGGTTAAGTATTACTGTTTTATGGTTTTACAGATGAGGAAACCAAGGCACAAGGGGTTAAATAATTTGTGTCAGTAGGGCCAGGCATGGTGGCTCACGCCTATAATTCTTTGGGAGGCTGAGGCAGGTGGATCACAAGGTCAGGAGATTGAGACCATCCTGGCCAACATGGTGAAACCCCATCTCTAATAGAAATACAAAAATTAGCTGGGCATGGTGGCAGGGGTCTATAATCCCAGCTACTCAGAAGGCTGAGGCAAGAGAATCGCATAAACCAGGGAGTCAGAGGTTGCAGTAAACCGAGATTGTGCCACTACACTCCAGCCTGGTGACGAAGCCAGTCTCAAAATATAAAATAAAATAAAAATCATTTGTGTCAGCTCAAACAGCTGGTAGAGACAGAGCCAGGGTCTGGGATCTGGCTCCAGAGAATAAACCCCTGACCCTCCACTGTCCTGCTGCCAGTCATCTGGGGCCTCAGAGCAGGGCTGGCTAGAAGGAACTGCTGTGGTTCTTGCAGGCCACCCAGCCTCTGATGGCCAGTGGCCTAATGAATGGGTACTTTCTCAACTCTCAAGTTCTTCCCTTTCATTGCAGGTACTGGTACAAGAGGAGCACCCGTGTTCTCTGTTAAGTCCTGTGCACCAGGAGGTCTTTGTCACCATATCTGATCTCAGGTGATGCCCACATGCCCCTTACAGGGACATCCTGGTTCCTCTCAGGGCCAATGCCAGGTCCAACTGACATGACCCTTTGTTTTTGTTTTGTTTCTCTTTTTGTGACGGAGTCTCACTCTGTCACCCAGGCTGAAGTGCAGTGACGCAATCTTGGCTCACTGCAACCTCCGCCCCTGGGTTCAAGCAATTCTCCTGCCTCACTCAGCCTCCCGAGTAGCTGGGATTACAGGCGTGCACTACCACGCCTGGCTAATTTTGTACTTTTAGTAGAGATGGGGTTTCACCATGTTGCCTGGGCTGGTCTCGAATTCCTGACCTCAGGTGATCCACCCACCTCGGCTTCCCAAAGTGCTGGGATTTCAGATGTGAGCCACCATGGCCAGCCATGATTCATATTTTTAATTTTTGAAAACGGTTTAAATAGAAAAGCGGGAGCCAAATCCATGTTTTCGCGTAAGCACTTTGATTTCATATATGCTACTATCCATATCTGAAAACCCTTGCTAGAATCTCTTTAGACTTGAGTTTTGTCCCAAGTATATTTGGTAGGAAGTTACTCCCACATATGCCACATGACTTTAGAGTTCCAACTTATAAGAAGTTTGGAAGGGCTGCCTGCTGTTTACCTGTCAGAGATTTGTGTTGCAGTGATTAAGCTGATCAATAGTCCTGAGAAGTCTTGCAGTTAAAAAGTTTTTTAACTAGATTCAACCCATGATGCCCCAAATGAACATTCAGCAGAATATGCTTTGGAAAATTGTGGCTTACCACGCTAGGCTGTAGCACGCTTCTCTCGGTGGTTAAACTGAATGGAGCCCTGCAAGGATATTACTCCAGTAAATACTTGGGGGAAAACTTCCTCTAACCTTTTGTGAGATTTATCTGAACAGACTGACAAGCCATGCCATTTATCTCTCACATCAGAACAGTACACTGGCCTGTCTACCCTTTCCTTTTGAGTTCTATTGCTCTGTGCTTATCAATATCAAATCAAACCGTCTTCCCAGCTTGCTGTTCCCAAACTGTCTTTTCTTAGTTACCAAGATGTCCATTTGCTGTCTGGCTCTGAAGATCGAGCCGAGTTGTTCAGTCTTATCATCAGGAGTATAATCACTCTGCCCTCTGTAAAGACTCTTACCCAGATGTGGGAAATCGTGCCCAATGGGACCTGCAACACAGAGGTAACTCACACTTTACTTTAGCCACTTTCCATCCACAGGGTCAGCTGATCTTGGCCTTTTGAGAGTACATTTGATTTTTTGAAACTAGCCAAAAACCATAAGCCAAGTCTGGTGAATAAAATAGGTGGTTAAATTCGAAGACAGCTTCTTTCAAGCCTTCATTTTGTCTTCTTTCCTTTTCCCTCTACTCTTTCCTTCCTTTGGGCTTTAAAATAATGTGGGAGCACTCATTTGTATGCTTAACATTTATTTAAAAGTCACCATATGCCAAAAGTGATGATAAGCAGTGGCAATACAGCAGCACAGTCCCGCTCAAGGAGCTTACAAGTGCAGAGAGACAAACTGTAGATACATAGATATAATATGTCAGCTGATAATCAGTGTTACAAAAAAAAAATAAAGCAGGGGAAGAGCAGGATAGGGAGCCCTGTGGTTGGGAGGCACATGGGTGGTCGGGTAAAGCCTTCACGATGGGGTGATAATTGAAAGAAGAGAGAAGGTGTCTGGTGTATCTGGAGAGAAGGCTTTCAAGCAGAGGGAAGAGTACACGCAGGCCTTGATCTCTTCTTCAGTGGCTAAGAAACTGGTTGGTAAAGCAGTTACGAAAGAGGACCCTCTGTTTCAAGATGTCAGAAAGAGTCACAAGTCAACTTTAAAGAATCTTGGCTGGGCGCAGTGGCTCAGCCCTATAATCCCAGCACTTTGAGAGGTCGAGGCGGGCAGATCACGAGGTCAGGAGGTTGAGACCATCCTGGCTGACATGGTGAAATCCCATCTCTACTAAAAACACAAAAAATTAGCCAGCCATGGTGGCAGGTGCCTGTAATCCCAGCTACTCGGGAGGCTGAGGCAGGAGAATCGCTTGAACCTGGGAGGCAGAGGTTGCAGTGAGCTGGGATCGCACCACTGCACTACAGCCTGGGCGACAGAGTGAGACTCCATCACAAAAAATAAAAAATGAAAGAATCTTGATAATGACCCTTAAGCAATTTCCCAGGTGCAGTAAGACTCAGTCAGCTCTCCCTCTAATGCTAAGGCATCCATTTGAAATGAAGATGTATTCCTTTTTATCTCATGCCACAAACTCTCTACCAGTACTTTTACACTGGTTCTGCAACTTTGAGTAAAGTCTTAGGATCAGAAGAAGAGCCTCCAAAGCATCCCATGCTAGGGGAACTTTACATGAGATTGGGGAGCACTGCTGATCCTGTGCCTTCTCAGTGTCTTTACAGGCAGACGTTTCAGGCGTTCTTTGAGATGCTCCAGAGTTTGGTGGTAAAAGACCCACATTTGGAAAATCTTGACACCATTATTAAGGTAAACAAGATACCAAGGGAGAATGAGAAATTCTATTAACCAGTAAAAGTGGGAGATGAAAGTGTGGAAGGACTCAGTTGTAAGAGGCAATGTAGTAAAGCGTATCAGCTATCAACTTTTGAGTCAGAAGCTTGGGTTCAAATTCTGACTCTGCCCTTCATTGGTTATAAGTTCTGCTAGAAATTCTGCAAGGAATTTGCTCTCTCAGAGTCACATTTCTTCACGTTTACATGGAGATAATAATTACTGTGAATACTGAATAAATGGCCTTCAATAGTTTGTTTATTTATTTTCAGAGACAGGGTCTTGCTCTATTGCCCAGGTTGGAGTGCAGTGGCACCATCGTAGCTCCCTGCAGCCTCGAACTCTTGGCCTCAAGTTATCTTCCCACCTCTGCCTTGGGAGACCACAGCGGGTGACTCATTTGAGGCCAGAAGCTCAAGACGAGCCTCACCAACATGGCAAAACCCTGACTCTACTGAAAAAAAAATACAAAAATTAGCCAGGCATGGTGATGCCCACCTGTAATCCCAGCTACTCGGGAGACTGAGGCACGAGAATCACTTGAACCCGGGAGGCGGGGGTTACAGTAAGCAGAGATTGCACCACTGCACTCCAGCCTGGGTGACAGAGACTCTGTATCAAAAAAAAATTTTAAGATATTATTCCTTACTAGTATAGAAGGGTTTCATTCAGTGATGAGGGAAGAGTCAGCCTCAAGAGTTACTAAGGCCAGGCACAGTGGTTCATGCCTGTAATCACAGCACTTTGGGAGGCCAAGGCAGGCGAATAATTTGAGGTCAGGTGTTTGAGACCAGCCTGGCTAACATGGTGAAACCCTGTCTCTATTAAAAAGGCAAAATTAGCCAGGCGTGGTGGTACATGCTTGTAGTCCCAGGTACTCGGGAGGCTGAGGCAGGAGAATCATTTGAACCCAGTAGGCGGAGGTTGCAACGAGCCAAGATTGTACCACTGCACTCCAGCCTGGGTGACACTGCAAGACTTCTTCTCAAAAACAAATGAAAAAAGAAGAGTCAGTAAATAAGCAGCTTCCTACCAGATGATACTCAAAGGTCATCATAACCAACTGCTCTGACCTGCACTTGCTTCTGTATATGCCGTTCCATCACTAGAGATTTATTCATTGGAATTCATTCACTGTGGTTCAGGTATCTTGCTCTCTTGCCCGTTTTTGTTGTTGTTATTTTATTTTTATTTTTCTTACCCTTTTTTAAGGTGTAAATATCCCAGAAAGGGATAACTCTTTAAGCTATTATTAATCATCTGCACCCTAATGATCCATTTATTCTTGTCCTAACTGACAAGCAAGGCACAAAGACTTAGGCAGTCGGGTAGTTTGGCTGCTAAAGGAGCTTCTTTTCTTTCTTTCTTTCTTTTTCTTTCTTTCTTTCTTTTTCTTTCTTTCTTTCTGTTTTTGTTTTGTTTTATTTTGTTTTTTGAGATGGAGTCTCACTTTGTCGCCAAGGCTGGAGTGCGGTGGCGCAATCTCAGCTCACTGCAACCTCCACCTCCTGGGTTCAGGCAATTCTCCTGTATCAGCCTCCTGAGTAGCTGGGATTACAGGCATGCACCACCATGCCCGGCTAATTTTGTATTTTTAGTAGAGACAGAGTTTCACCATGTTGGTCAGGCTGGTCTCGAACTCCTGACCTCGTGATTCACCTGCCTCGACCTCCCAAAGTGCTGGGATTACAGGCATAAGCCACTGCATCCAGCCCAGGAGCTTATTTTCTAGCTCATTTTCTGTGCTTCTGTACAGAATAATTAATTAAAGAATTGGGATGAAGGGAAAAATGATAAATAATAACAAATAATAAATGCTCTGATTTATTCTTGTCCTAACTGACCTTACTACTATTTATCATTCCTCTTCTATTTGTACATTAGCATACCAGCCAGATTGGGTTCCTCCTCTTTATTCAGTTGTACTTTGTACTTTCCTGCCTTGGTAGCTTAATTCAAGCCTTTCTTTTTTTCTTTTTTTGAGACAGGGTCTCACTCTGTCACCCAGGCTGGAGTACAGTGGCATGATCTCAGCTCACTGTAATCTCCACCTCCCAGGCTCAAGCAATTGTCCCACATCAGCTTCCCGAGCAGCTGGGACTACAGGTACACGCCACCAAGCCCACCTAATTTTTGGATTTTTTTGCAAAGATGGGGTTTCACCATGTTACCCAGGCTGGTCTCCAACTCCTGGGCTTAAGCAATCTGTAATTCCTCCCAAAGTGCTGGGATTACAGGCATGAGCAGCCACACCTGGCTGTTCTCATAATTCTTTAATGTTAATAGTATGTTGTTAACTTTACTTCTTTTCAAGGCAGATTTGAAAGGGCTAAAACCATTCAGATGTACAGAAAAATTAATTGAAGAATTGGGCTGAAGGGAAAATAAGCTCTGGCCAGGTGCAGTGGTTCACGCCTGTAATCCCAGCACTTTGGGAGGCCAAGGCGGGTGGATCACCTGAGGTCAGGAGTTTGAGATCAGCCTGGCCAACATGGTAAAATCCCGTCTCCACAAAAATACAGAAATTAGTGGGCATGGTGGTAGATGCCTGTAATCCTGGCTACTCGGGAGGCTGAGGTGAGAGAATTGCTTGAACCCGAGAGGCTGAGATTGCAGTGAGCTGAGATTGCACCATTGCACTCCATCCTGGGCCACAGAGCAAGACTCCATCTCAAAAAAAGAAAAGAAGCTCCTTTGTAGCAGCCAAATCACCCACTGCCTAGGTCTTCGCGCCTTGCTTGTCATTCTACCACTTTCATTTCCAACCCAAGCTGTAATAGTATTTACCAAAGTATTTTCAGATCTGGTAGCAGCTTGGAACTTCTCTCTCTGCACTTTTTTCTAAACACAATAAAGATGGTACCCCAAATTTCCTGATAAACCATTAAAGCCTCCTTTTGTTTCTCACAGCACATGGACCCCTGGTTACAGTCAGTCAAAGACCATGAGCGGGAACGGGCCACAGCCAGCATGGCTCAAGTTCTGAAGTGCTTATCCAGACATCTCATCTTGGAGGTGAGCAGCCCTGTAAAAATCCAAACCCATTACCCCACTGCCTATTTGCCCTCCTCTTTAGGACTCCCCAGACTGCTCCTGTGTCCCCTTCATGCTCATGGACTGTCACAGCATCATAGCGCTTGGTATCATCTTCATATCTGCCCTTCTCCTAAGCAGCTTGGGGCCAGGTACTATGTTGATTCATCTTTGCATCCCAATTGCTTAGCACAGCAGCTGGAACATAGTGATACAGTAAATGTAACCTGAAAATGCCTGAGGGCCACGGTTGCCTAATCTCTGTATAGTGTTGTATTTGAGTCCAGCAGGCAAGTTTAAATAAATCAACTTAATTATCTCCCCGCAACTCAAAGAGAATGATGCTATGGCACCTCTATTCAGATCTTCATTTTTCTCTTTCTCTGCCTCACTTCTCAGTTCTGAATCCTCTCCATATGGCATCTCATTATGATGATGATTATTATTCAAGACAGGGTCCTGCTCCATCACTCAGGCTGGAGTGCAGTGGCGCCATCATAGCTCACTGCAACCTTGAACTCCTGGCCTCAAGCAATCTTCCTGCCTCAGCCTTCCAAGTAGCTGGGACTACAGTCACACATCACCACGCTTGGCTAATTTTTAAAATTTTTTGTAAAGACAGGGGTGTCACTTTGTTGTCCAGGCTGGTCTTGAACTCCTGACTTCAAGTAGTCCTCCTGCCTCAGCCTCTCAAAGCACTGGGATTACTGCCATGAGCCACTGCACCTAGCCATATCTCTTTTAAAAACAACTTCTCCTTTCTTCACGCACTCACTTCTCAGTTGAGAATCCTCTCCATAACTCCTAACAAGAATTCCTCAAAACTTTTTTCCTTTTTCCATCTGATCATCTCTCTCTTTGCCCTTCCCTGAGCAGGTTTTCTTTCTTTCTTTCTTTCTTTTTTTTTTTTGAGACGGAGTTTCGCTCTTGCTACCCAGTCTGGAGTGCAATGGCGCGATCTCAGCTCACCGCAACCTGCGCCTCCTGGGTTCAGGCAATTCTCCTGCCTCAGCCTCCTGAGTAGCTGGGATTACAGGCGTGCACCACCATGCCCAGCTAATTTTTTGTATTTTTAGTAGAGACGGGGTTTCACCATGTTGACCAGGATGGTCTCGATCTCTTGACCTCGTGATCCACCCGCCTCGGCCTCCCAAAGTGCTGGGATTACAGGCTTGAGCCACCGCGCCCGGCCTCCCTGAGAAGGTTTTCTAGCCATTGGTGCATCTCCTGTCCCCACACATCATTTCTCCAACTTGCATAATAAGTCCTGGGAATTGGAAGAGAGGCTGGTAGGGTAGGAATGGTCCTTATACCAAAATTTTCCTTAGATAATCTGTTCTTTCTTTCTTTAATTTCTTTCTTTCATTTCTCCTTCTTCCTTCCTTCTTTTCTTTCTTTTCTCTCTTTCTTTCTCTTTCTTTCTTTCTCTCTTTTCTCTCTCTTTTTTCTTCCTGCCCAAAGCACAAGAGGGAAAATAATTTGTTCCTGATACGAATATTCTAACAGTCATGTTTAAACGGACTGCATTCCAGACAGCCCTTTATTTCTCACATTGAAAAGACATCCAAACTTATTAAAGTAAGTGCAGTCCCTCCAACTACGCTATTTTCTTTTTTTTCTTTAGTGAACGAAAACAAGTATTTTCTGGCCGTCACTGACTGCCCTATTATTTTGATACCAGCAATGCATTTTTCCTCCTTCCACAACCCTCAACCTCTAATTTTGGCTACAGACTGAAGAATAGAGTTTCGGATGATTCCTTCCTGTAGGTTATTCTCTCTCCAGGTCCTAGAGACATTCCTTAGCATATGTTTTTCCCAGAGAGAGTTGCAAATATGGGTCTGGGCGCAGTGGCTAAGCCTGTAATCCTAGCACTTTAGGAGGCCGAGGTGGGTGGATCACTTGAGCTCAGGAGTTAGAGACCAGCCTGGCCAGCATGGTGAAACTCTGTCTCTATTAAAAATATAAAAATTAGCCAGACATGGTAGCAGGCACCTGTAATCCCAACTATCCAGGAGGCTGAGGCAGGAGAATCGCTTGAACCTGGGAGGTGGAGGCTGCAGTGAGCCGAGATCATACCACTGCACTCTAGCCTGGGCTACAGAGCAACACTCTGTCAAAAAAAAAAAAAAAAAATCGTGTTGCAGATATGGGAGTGGTTAACCTAGGCCCCATTGGGGTCTGTGAACATCCAGAATGTGCAGAGTGTGGTGTGGTGCAGTCTTCTGGATTTTTTTTTTTTTTTTTTTTTTTTTTTCGAGGCAGGATCTTATTCTGTCAGCCAGGCTGGAGTGCAGTGGCATGATCATGGCTCATGCACCCTTGACCCATCCTGGGCCCAAGCAGTCCTCCTGCCTCAGCCTCCGTAGTAGCTGGAACTACAGGCACACACACCACCACAACTGGTTAATTTTTGTATTTTTTATAGAAATGGGATTTCACCATGTCGCCCTGGCTGGTCTCGAGCTCCTGGGCTCAAGTGATCCACCTGCCTTGGCCTCCCAAAGTGCTGAGATTACAAGCGTGGGCTACTGTGCCTGGCCCCTTCCAAGTTCTTTTTGGTACATGAGTGTATTGGGGTGGGGACTTCCCATTTGTTCTCTACACATAGCCAGAGGCAGCCTCTCCAGATCCATGTCATTCTTGCTTTTGTTTTTGTTTCTTTGCTTTTCCCCCTTATCTTTTCTTTACTTTTCTTTTTTTTCCCCCATGTCACTTGTTTGATCCAGTGATTTCCAAACTGCTCTTAGAATACAGGGTTGTGTCTCATGTAGCTCTGCCTGCCTCTCTACACCTGTCCTCTGACTTAACCACACAGCATCCGCCTTTCTGTTTCTTCCTACCTAAGACTCTTCTTGCCTCATGGCCTTTGCCCTTGCTGCCTTCTCTGCTTGGAGTGACTTTCCCTAGCTCTGCATAGTGCCAGCCCCTCCTGGTTATTTTTTTTTTTTTTCTTTTTTGAGATGGAATCTCATTCTGTCACCTAGGCTGGAGTGTTGTGGTGCAATCTTGGCTCACTGCAACCTCCACCTCCTGGGTTCAAGTGATTCTCCTGCCTCAGCCTCCCTAGTAGCTGGGATTACAGGTGCCCACCACCACACCTGGCTAATTTTTGTATTTTTAGTAGAGACGGGGTTTCACTGTGTTGGCCAGGCTGGTCTCCAACTCCTGATCTCAAGTGATCCGCCCACCTCGGCTTCCCAAAGTGCTGGGAATACAGGCGTGAGCCACCATGCCCAGCCTCTTCCTGGTTCTTTAGCACTGTGTAGATGTCTTGACCTCAAAGGGCCTCTGCTCACCACGGATAGACGTATGCTTGCTGTCTGTCTTATCACTCTCTCCTTGCTAGGGCTGTCTAGAATCAGAGGTTATCTGACTTGATTCTTTCTTTACTTCTGTGTTTCCTATTTCCCACTAACATAATATAAAGTCCACCAGTGATTATGCTTGTCCTATTTTTCTTGTTTTTTTGAGACAGGGTCTCACTCTGTTGCCCAGGTTGAAGTGCATTGGTGCTATCACAGCTCACTGCAGCCTCAACTTCCTGTCCTCAAGTGATGCTCCTGCCTTAGCCTCCCAAGTAGCTGGGACTACAGGCATGTGCCACCACGCCCGGTTAATTTTTTTATTTTTTATACAGATGGGGGTCTCACAATACTGCCCAAGCTGGTCTCAAACTCCTGGGCTCAAGCAGTCTCCCAACCTCTGCCTCCCCAAATGCTGGGATTACAAGCATGAGCCACTATGCCCAGCAATTATACTAGTTTTGTTCACCACAGTAGCCCCAGTGCCTGCCTAGCACAGAATCTGCCATGTGGTTGATGCTCAATTAAATGTTATTGAGTACATGTAAGTCACTTCATGTCCCTCCTCTGCTCAATACCCTCTGATGCCTTACCGCCTCAGAATAAAAGCCAGAATCCTCACTCACAGTGTTCTCAGGTTGCCACACCTTCTGGCCCATTCTTCATCTACTTCCTGTTTCTTTCCCTCTGGTTTACATTGCTCCAGCCAACCTGACCCACTCATGGTTCCTCAGAAACACCAACCATACCTGTCTCAGTCCTTGGCACTTGCCATTCTCTCTGCCCGGAATACTCTTCTCCCAGATATCTGCATGGCTCAATCTCTCATTTCAATATTAGTGAGGCCTTCCCTGACTATCCTAAAATAACAATTGTTATCCCTTTTCCCTGAATTTTTGTTAATTGTGACATTTATCATCATTGAATACATGATACATTTTACGTATTTATTTTGTTTACTTGGTGTTTCCCCAACCAGATCATCACCTCCGCAAGCAGGGATAGTCTCTTCTGTTCACTGCTTATATCCCCAGTGCCAGTCATAGCTCCTGGCACATAACTGACACTGTATTTATTGACTGAATAAACGAAGGTTGTATCAGTGAATTCAAGATGTTATACAGCTTTGCGTCTTGCTGTGTTTACTGTAAATAGGTTGCAAAGGCTGTTCACGATATTTCTATGTCTTGGCCGGGCGAGGTGGCTGATGCCTGTAATCCCAGTACTTTGGGAGGCCGAGGCAGGCAGATCACCTGAGGTCAGGAGTTTGAGACCAGCCTGACCAACATGGAGAAACTCCATCTCTACTAAAAATACAAAATCAGCCGGGCGTGGTGGCTCATGCCTGTAATCTCAGCTACTTGGGAGGCTGAAGCAGGAGAATTGCTTGAGCCCTGGAGGTGGTGATTGCAGTCAGCTGAGATCGCACCCTTGCACTCCAGCCTGGGCAACAAGAGTGAAACTCCATCTTAAAAAAAAAAAATTTATATATATATATATATATATATATATATATATATATATATATTTCTGTGTCTTATTTCTGTAGAGCCACAGAAGAAATTTCTTTCTGTCTCAACCCTAGGAAGCTGTGCTTCCTCTGCATGGCTAGTTGCTTCTTATCTTAAGGACAGTGTGAATCATGTTATATGCATCATTGTGTGTACCTTTACGTTAGCCCTGAGAAAGTGCAGAACCTTGCTCCATGGCCTGCCTGAAGCAAATGATGACTACGTATTCTGTATGTAACCACATTCTTAATTTCATTTAACTTTTCCACCTTAATTTTTATTATTTTTTAATTTTTAAATTTTTATTTATTTATTTATTTTGAGATGGAGTCTCACTCTATTGCCCAGGCTGCAGTGCAATGGTGCAATCTCAGCTGACTGCAACCTCCGCCTACCAAGTTCAAGCAATTCTTCTGCCTCAGCTTCCTGAGTAGCTGGCATTACAGGCGTGCACCACCATGCCAAGCTAATTTTTTTTGTATTTTTAGTAGAGACAGGGTTTCATCATGTTGGCCAGGCTGGTCTCGAACTCCTAACCTCAAATGATCTGCCCACCTCAGCTTCTCAAAGTGCTGGAATTATAGGTGTGAGCCACCACACCCAGCCAATGTTTTAATTTATCCAGTTTTCTCCACTGTTTATTTAAAGTTATATATTTTTTTTCTGGTATGATTTTTGCCAGCTACCTTACATGCATTTTTTTCCATAATAAAGCAGGATATTAATGAAAGAATTTTATAAATAGAATTAAGTGCTATATCTCAACTTTGCATTTGGCTTTTTTACTTAACAGAACAACACATTATAAATTCCTTAGATACTTGATTTCTTTCTTTTTTTTTTGTTTTTTTTGAGATGTCTTGCACTGTCGCCTGGGCTGGAATGCAATGGCACGATCTCGACTCACTGCAACCTCCACCTCCCGTTTAAATGATTCTCCTGCCTCAGCCTCCCGAGTAACTGGGATTACAGGCACCTGCCACCACGCCCAGCTAATTTTTTGTATTTTTAGTAGAGATGGGGTTTTGCTGTGTGGTTCAGGCTGCTCTCCAACTCCTGATCTTGTGATCCACCGCCCCCCACCCCCACCAGGCATCCCAAAATGCTGGGATTACAGGCCTGACCCACCACACCTGGCCAGACACTTGGTTTCTAATGGTCGTATTCATAGACTGGCTATACCATAATTCTCTTTACTATTGTCATGCAGTTATTTCCAGAGTGTGTTGGGGGGTGTTTTGTTTTGTTTTTTGTTTTTTGTTTTTTTCTTTTCTTTCTTGAGATAGCGTGTCACTCTTGTTGCCCAGGTTGGAGTGCAATGGCGCAATCTCAGTTCACCGCAACCTCTGCCTCCCAGGTTCAAGCAATTCTCCTGCCTCAGCCTCCCTAGTAGCTGGGATTACAGGGATGTGCCACCACGCCTGGCTAATTTTGTATTTTTAGTAAAGACAGGGTTTCTCCATGTTGGTCAGGCTGGTCTCAAACTTCTGACCTCGGATGATCTGCCCACCTCAGCCTCCCAAAGCTGGGATTACAGGTATGGGCTACCACCCCCAGCCCAAAGTGGTCTTTAGACCACCTCTGGGTTTATACCCCAAAGAAAGGAAATCAGTATACTGAAGAGATGTCTGCACTCCCACGTTTGTTGCGGTGCTCTTCACAATAGCCAAAGTTTGGAAGCAGCTTAAGTGTCAATCAGCAGATGAACAGATAAAGAAAATGTGGTACTTAAATACAGCTGAATACTATTCAGCCATAAAAAGAATGAGATCCTGTCATTTGCAACAACGTAACTGGAACTGGAGGTCATTATGCTGAGTGAAATATGCCAGGCACAGAAAGGCAAACCTCACATGTTCTCACATATTGTGGGATCTGAAAATCAGAACGATTGAATTCATGGAGATAGAGAATAGAAGGATTGTTATCAGAGGCTGGGAAGGGTCGTGGCAGGGTTAGAGAGAGGTGGGAATGGTTAATAGATACCAAAAAAATTGTTAGAATGAATAAGACCTAATGTTTTATAGCACAACAGGGTGACTGTAGTCAAAAATTATTTACTTGTGCATTAATAATTTTTAATATTTAAATTTTAATATATTTTTATTTAGTAATATTAAATGTGCATTTATTGGCCGGGTGCAGTGGCTCACACCTGTAACCTCCACCTGAGGTCAAGAGTTTGAGACCAGCCTGGCCAACATGGCAAAACCCTATCTCTACTAAAAATACAAAAATTAACTGGGTGCAGTCGCTCATGCCTGTAATTCCAGCTACTCAGGAGGCTGAGGCAGGAGAATCGCTTGAACCCGGGAAGCGGGGGTTGGAATGAGCCAAGATCAAGACATTATACTCCAGCCTGGGTGAAAAGGGCAAAACTCCATTTCAAAAAAAAAATTAATTAAAATAACTGAAGGAATATAATTGGACTATTTATAACACAAAAGATAAATGCTTGAGGGGATGGATACTCCATTTTACATAATGTGATTATTATACATTGCATGCCTGTATCAAAACATCTATATATTCCACAAATATTTAAACCTACTCTGTGCTCACGAAAATTAAAATTAAAAAATAAAAATAAGTCAGGCACGGTGGCTCATGCCTGTAATCCCAGCACTTCGGGAGGCTGAGGCGGGTGGATCACCAGATCAGGAGTTCAAGACCAGCCTGCCCAATATGGTGAAACCCCGTCTCTACTAAAAATACAAAAAAAAAAAAATTAGGCAGGCTTGGTGACACATGCATTTAGTGCCTTCAATCCCAGCTACTCGGGAGGCTGAGGCAGGATAATTGCTTGAACCCAGGAGGCGGAGGTTACAGTGAGCCAAGATTGTGCCACTACACTCCAGCCTGGGCGACAGAACAAGACTGCCTCAAAAAATAAAAGAAAGAAGAAAAAGAAAAACAGTGCTAGACTAACATCTTTATGCACAAAGCTTTTTCATTTTTCAGATTGTTTACTTAGGTTACAATTTTCCTATTTATTAATAACACCATCTGCTGGCTATACTGCATCTACCCATGTTAAATATGAGCCCTACAGAGATCCACAGGCTGATTGTGACCCTTGCACTTTCTTGAGTTGGGAGTAGAATTGGGATTAATTCTTAAAAATTCAAATTGAAGGCACTAAATGCATGTGTATTCTGATGACACTTATCTTTTTCTTTCTCAATTAAGCTTCCACTTCGATTCCACAGACTCGGACACCTAGTGGCTCTGATGGCACTGCTCTGTGGGGACCCACAGGAAAAGGTGGCCAAGGAGGCTGGAGAGGGCATTCACTACCTGCTGGATATCACCCTGCGGCTGAAGTGTAAGGCACTGCTGAAGGCCGTGAGGTCCTGAGTGAATTCTCCAGCACAACATAAGCACCAGCCCTCCTTACTGACTCAGTCCCCATGTTCTCGAAAGGCTTTTTACAGTAGTTCATAAAGAGAAAGATACATGGTCCATAGGCAGAGATGAAGCAACACTGACTTAGTAATTAGAATCCTAACACTGGATCAGACATATCACTGTCATCCATCTGCATAGTCAAGGATTGGCTAAACATGTGGCCCTGTGGACAAACTAGAGTGTTTAGTTTGGTCAGAAGTGGCAGTAAGGCTGGATGCAGTGGCTTACTCCTGTGTTCCCAGCATATTGCCAGGCCAAGGCAGGAGAACCACTTGGGCCCAGGAGTTCAAGACTATGCTGGGCAACATGACGAAACCCCTTCTCCACAAAAAATTTTAAAAATTAGCTGGCATGGTGAAGTATACCTATAATCCTAGCTACTCAGGAGGCTAAGGGAGAATCATTTGAGTCCAGGAGGTCGAGGCTGCAGGAAAATTAATTTCCTTATGAAGAGAAATTACACAGGCCATGAGTAAGAATCAAATCTAGTTGCAGGATTCAGAAAATGTAATCTGGAGAATAAGGAGCAATTTGCCAGCTAGAGAGGTAAGAAAAGTGTATTAGACAGAAGAAACGGCTAAGGAGAGGATCCTTGGTAGACATGAGCTTGAGGAGTTTGAAAAACAGAGGGCCGGTGTGGTCAAGGAATGAACCATTGACTTCTGTGGTTAGAAGGGACTTGAGAGGATACCTAACCCAGCATCCCTGCAGTATTTGAAACTCAAACTACTCTTTCCCTACCAAGTACACTCATGCACATGTAATGACATTTCAGCCAATAGCTAATCATTTTTTTTTTTTTTTGAGACGGAGTTTCACTCTTGTTACCCAGGCTGGAGTGCAATGGCACGATCTCGGCTCACCGCAACCTCCGCCTCCTGGGTTCAGGCAATTCTCCTGCCTCAGCCTCCTGAGTAGCTGGGATTACAGACACGTGCCACCATGCCCAGCTAATTTTTTGTATTTTTAGTAGAGACGGGGTTTCACTATGTTGACCGGGATGGTCTCGATCTCTTGACCTCATGATCCACCCACCTCGGCCTCCCAAAGTGCTGGGATTACAGGCTTGAGCCACCGCGCCCGGCCCAGCTAATCATTTCTATAACAAGGATCACATAAGATTAGAATAGAGCTGAAGTTTTTTTTTCTTTTCCTTTTTTTTTTTTTTTTTTTTTTTTTTTGAGATGGAGTCTCACTCTGTTGCCCAGACTGGAGTGCAGTGGTGTGATCACAGCTTACTGCAAACTCCACCTCCCAGATTCAAGTGGTTCTCATGCCTCAGCCTCCCAAGTAGCTGGGATTACAGGTGGCCACCACCACACTTGGCTAATTTTTGTATTTTTAGTAGAGATGGGGCTTTACATCTCTACTAAATGTTACTTAATGTGACCAGGCTGGTCTTAAACTCCTGACCTCAAGTGATCTGCCTGCCTTGGCATCCCAAAATGCTAGAATTACAGGCATGAACCACCACGCCCAGCCTTATTATTATTATTATTATTTTTTTTTAAGAAATGAAATTTCCACCAGGCACAGTAGCTCATGCCTGTAATCCCAGCACTTTGGGTGGCCAAGATGGGTGGTTCATGAGGTCGAGAGATTAAGACCATCCTGGCCAACATAGTGAAACCCCGTCTCTACTAAAAATACAAAAATTAGCTGGGTGTGGTGGTGTGCCTCTGTAGTCCCACCTACTCAGGGCTTAGGCAGGAGAATCGCTTTAACCTAAGAGGTGGAGGTTGCAGTGAGCTGAGATCATGCCACTGCACTCCAGCCTGGCACTAGAGCAAGACACTGTTTCAGAAAAAGAAAAAAGGAACAAAGTCTCACTATGTTGCCCAGGCTGGTCTCCAACTCTTGAGCTCAAGCAATCCTCCTGCCTAAGCCTCAAAAAGTGCTGGAACTACAGGTGTCCGCCACCATGCCCAGCTGAGCTGAAAATTTTCTATCACCTAGTGACATCATAGCCATCATAACATTATGGCACAATATGTTACTCATGTTTGTGGTGATACTGGTGTAAACAAACCTACGGCACTGCCAGTCATAAAAAAGTACAGCACCAGCCGCGCGGTGGCTCACACCTGTAATCCCAGCACTTTGGGAGTCCGAGGCAGGCTGATCACGAGGTCAGGAAATTGAGACTGTCCTCACCAACATGGTGAAACCCCATCTCTCCTAAAGTACAAAAAATTAGCTGGGCACCATGGCATGTGCCTGTAGTCCCGGCTACACAGGAGGTGGAAGCAGGGGAATTGCTTGGACCCAGGAGGCAGAGGTTGCAGTGAGCCGAAATCATGCCACTGCACTCCAGCCTGGTGACAGAGTGAGACACCGTATTTAAAAAAAAAAAAAAAAAAAAAAAAAAAAAAAAAGTATGCTCTATGTGATGTTTGTGCAGGGACGCAATAGCCTAATGGGGCATTTCTCAAAACATATACCCATTGCTAAACTATGCACAACTATAGTAGCTCTGCCTGGGTCTGCGCTTTACATGGATGAGGATGCTCCATGCCTCCCAAAGCAGCCGTCCTGTCTTTGGGCACCTCTGAATATGAGCAATGTCTACTAGATATACAGCCAGAGAAATAGTTGATTATTGATTCGCAAATATTTATGAAGCATTTATTGTTCTCCTGATGCATCAGTAGACAAGACAGACAAGATGCCTTCCCCCAGGGAGCTTATTTTCTAGTTGGAGAGAGAGTATCCTCAGCAAAGGGCTCAAAGATAAATTTTCCATCTACAAATTTCCCGCAAACATGAGATCATGATAAAACATGAGAAAAACAAGATACTGCAAGTAGTGTTGGCATCCTCAATGATCAGCAAAACTAGACATGTGATGAAGAGTTCTGATATCAGAAATATACACAGTATAAAGTTGGGCAATTTTTTCTGGAAACCTAAGCTTTATAAGGAGACCCCCTCAGAATTCCTCACTAGTGGGGAAATGAGGCAGCACGCTTTAGTTGTATTCACAAATCACTCAAATGCTCTGCTCTTGCAAAAAGCTCTTTGCTTTTGCTTTTTTTTTTTTTTTAAGACAGGGTCTGTCACCAAGGCTGGAGTGAACTGGCATGATCTCAGTTCACTGCAACCTCTGCCTCCTGGGTTAAAGTGATCCTCCCACCTCAGTCTCCTGTAGCTGGGACTACAGGAGAGCACCATAACGCCCGGCTAATTTTTTAAATTTTTGGTAGAGACCGTTTCACCATGTCGACCAGGGTTGCCTCAAACCCCTGACTTCAAGTGATCCGCCTGCCTCAACCTCCTCTTTGCATTTTCTTTTGGCTCTTTTTATATATTGTTCCACAAGAAAAGAAAACTACATCAGCCTTCAGATGAACACACACTCCCTCCTTCAGGGATTTTTTTGTTCAAGTGATAAAGAAGAGTGTGACCTTGGGATCCACTTTAAACTGGAGATCAACCAGGCCCGTAAAATCAAGAAGAAAAAAAGAAGCCAGAAAGTATTAATATTTTATATTTTCTTCCCAGATACCACTCGTGACAAGAAAAATCAGCAAAACTTGAAAAGAGCATTGACAAAATTTCGAGAATTCCTGGAGCTCTCCAGCTCTGCCGTTAAATGCTTCTACAGCTGTCCCTTCAGAATTGCCCAGGTAATCAGAATGGCTAAAATTATAACCACAGCCAGAAGTGTTGGCGAGGGTAGGGAACAACCAGAAGTCTCCTGCATTTATTCATAGAAATGTAAAATAGTAAAAACCACTTGGAAAAAGTTCTCGTCATTTCTTGTAAAATAAAACTGGCCAGGCATGGTGGCTCACACCTGTAATCCCAGCACTTTGAGAGACCGAAGCAGTCAGATCACAAGGTCAGGAGATCAAGACCATCCTGGCCGGGCGCGGTGGCTCAAGCCTGTAATCCCAGCACTTTGGGAGGCCGAGGCGGGTGGATCACGAGGTCGAGAGTTCGAGACCATCCTGGTCGACATGGTGAAACCCCGTCTCTACTAAAAATACAAAAAATCAGCTGGGCATGGTGGCGTGTGCCTGTAATCCCAGCTACTCAGGAGGCTGAGGCAGGAGAATTGCCTGAACCCAGGAGGCGGAGGTTGCGGTGAGCCGAGATCGCGCCATTGCACTCCAGCCTGGGTAACGAGAGCGAAACTCCGCCTCAAAAAAAAAAAAAAAAAAAAAAGACCATCCTGGCCAACATGGTGAAACCCCATTTCTACTAAAATACAAAAAATTAGCCGGGCATAGTGGCATATGCCTGTAGTCCAGCTACTCGGGAGGCTGAGGCAGGGGAATCTCTTGAAGCCGGGAGGAGGAGGTTGCAGTGAGCTTAGATCACACCATTGCTCTCCAGCCAGGTGACAGAACAAGGCTTCGACTCAAGAAATAATAAATAAATAAATAAAACAAAACCATACACAATTGTCCAGGGAATGTGGCCCAAAACATTCCATAGTTTGGAGACAAGGCACTATGTCCCTGGCTCCTATACACCTTGCCCTCTTAGTTTGGAGGTAAGGTCAACCAGCCATTGAGGCCAGTATCCCTGGATTTCACTTCATACCAGCTCTGCTCCTACTATTAATAATTGCCAGCCTCTTGCAAAAGTATATGCCGGTCACAAAAAGGAGCTGCCAGAGAGTATGGTTGATCCAACAAGCCAGACGTTTTAAAATTAATCTAGTTATTCATTATTCAATAAATACTTACACATCTGCTAGGTACCAGGCATGCTGGGGGGTAGGGGAAAGTAAGGAAAACCTACAGCTCTCACTCATTTAGGGTCAAAAGTATCAAGTAATTTTGTCTCTCTGTACACCAATTTTCTCATCTGTACAATGGAGATCTGTAAAAATTGGGACAGTTTTTATAATTTACACTGTTTACAATTCAGTTGTGGTTAAATGAGGCTGGGTGTGTTGGTTCACGCCTGTAATCCCAGCACTTTGGGAGGCCGTGGCAGTCAGATCACTTGAGGTCGGGAGTTCAAGACCAGCCTGACCAGCATGGAGAAACCCCGTCTCTACTAAAAATACAAAATTAGCTGGGTGTGGTGGCACATGCCTGTAATCCCAACTACTCAGGAGGCTGAGGCAGAAGAATTGCTGGAACCCAGAAGGCGGAGGTTGCAGTGAGCCGAGATCGCACCATTGCATTCCAGCCTGGGCAAAAAGAGTGAAACTCCACCTCAAAAATAAATAAATAATGAAAATTAATTAATTAATGAGATAGTGTATGGAAACTGCTTTGCTAAATGCCTGTCACATAGTAAGTGCCCGGTAGGTTGTACCTATTATAATCATATGAAGGACTTTATATACTGCCAAATGCAATGAGAAACAGAATGACATATTCTTTTAGTATGTTGTCTCCTGACAAGGCATTTTAGTTATGCCTGGGGACCTGTCAGCTGTGTAACATTAGGGCTTTTTTTTTTAGTCCTACTCCTATAAAAGTGTGACTCTTTCTTTCTTTCTTTCTTTCTTTCTTTCTTTTTTTTTTTTGAGAAGGAGTTTAACTCTGTCACCTAGGCTGGGGTGCAGTGGCAGGATACCCGCTTACTACAACCTCCACCTCCCAGGTTCAAGTGATTCTCCTCCCTCAGCCTCCCAAATAGCTGGGATTACAGGCATCTACCACCATGCCCAGCTAATTTTTGTATTTTTAGTAGAGACAGGTTTCACCATATTGCCCAGGCTAGTCTCAAATCCTGGGCTCAAGTGATCCTCCCACCTTAGGCTCCCAAAGTGCTAGGATGACAGGTGTGAGCCACTGAGCCTGGCCAATAAAGCTTCTTTCTAAATGTCAGAGCAGTAGACTGGGTGCGGCAGTCACCCCTCTCATCCCAGCATTTTGGGAGGCTAAGGCGGGAGGATCACTTGAGCCCAGGATTCAAGACCAGCCTGGGCAACATAGCGAGACCTCAGCTCTACACATAAAAAAGTTAGCTGGGTATGGTGGTGCACGAGTGTAGTCCCAGCTACTCAGGAGGCTGAAGTGGGAGGATTACTTGGACCTGGGAGGTCCAGGCTACAGTGAGCTGTGATCGCACCACTGTACTCCAGCCTTAGTGTCAGAGCAGCAAAAAGCCATGCACAGATGCTAGCAGTGGACATTTAGGTTGCTTCCACCTTTTCACCTTTGTAAACGAGACTGGGCTAGGTGCATGGCTCAAGCCCATAATTCCAACACTTAGGGAGGCTGGGGCAGGAGGATCACCTGAGCCAGGAGTTTGTGGCCAGCCTGGGCAACAAAGTGAGACCCCTGTCTCTACAAAAAAATTTTAAAATTAGCAGAATGTGGTAGCACATGCATGTAGCCTCAGCTACTCAGAAGGCTGAAGCAGGAGGATCACTTAAACCCATGAGGTTGAGGCTGCAGTGAGCCATGATTGTGCCCCTGCCTGGATGACAGAGTAAGATGCTATCTCCAAAAGCAAAACAAAACCACAAGACTCAAAACAGCATTGTACATCTTTGTCCACTTCTCTGATTGTAAACTTAGAATCAAGTCCTTGTTCAGGGCACTTTCTATCTATCATACCATATTTCCATAGTTCTTAGAAGTTTATTTTCCTCATCTTTTCAGATTTTTGAAGGTTTTCTTGATTCCAATGAGCTCTTCCAGTTTGTAACAACTACATTTGATACCCTGAGAAACCTGAAACATCCCTGCACCCAGCGATCAGCAGGAGAATTACTGCTAACTTTGGCAAAAAATGCAGAGTCCCGATTTGAGAAGGTAAACTTTCAGTGGCCATTTCCTGGGTTCAAAAAGCCAGTAAGACCTCTTCATTCCTGTAGCTACTGAGGTCTCTGCTTGTCCTATTGAGCTAAGAACAACTACTGATAGGTACAGGGTCAAAGCCTTCATCTATTTCAGGCATCCCCAAACTACGGCCGCATGCGGCCCCCTGAGGCCATTTATCCGGCCCCCCACCGCACTTCAGGAAGGGGCACCTCTTTCATTGGTGGTCAGTGAGAGGAGCACAGTATGTGGCGGCCCTCCAACGGTCTGAGGGACAGTGAACTGGCCCCCTGCATAAAAAGTTTGGGGACGCCTGGTCTATTTAGTCACAAATATCCATTCTATAAACATACACCAAACAACCACTGTGTATGTAACTAGGGAGAAAGATTTTGTTTTTTATCTAAGATGTGGTCCATATTTCCTAGAAGAGTAGAGTTTTTCTGGGGAGATATAACTAACACATGAGAATGACTTTAATTTAGAGACTCATCCAGATGAATTAAAGGTATCAAGATTTAAAAAGCTGTAAGTGGCTGGGCATGGTGGCTCATGCCTGTAATCCCAGCATTTTGGGAGGCTGAGGCAGGCAGATGGCTTGAGCTCAAGAGTTCAAGACCAGCCTTAGCAACAGAGTAAAACCCTGTGTCTACTAAAACTACAAAAATTAGCCAGGCATAGGGGCACACACCTGCAGTCCCAGCTACTTGGGTGGCTGAGGGAGGAGAATCGCATGAACCTAGGAGGCAGAGGCTGCAGTGAACTGAGATCACGCCAGTGCCCTCCAGCTTGGGCAACAAAGTGAGACCCTGCCTCAAAATAAATAAATAAATAAATGTAAATAAAAGACCGTAAGTGACCCTAGAAGGAGGCAGACTTAGAAATCTTAAAATTAAGAGAATTTATCTAAATGTATTTAAAATTAACACATCAAGAAATACCTATATAATTATGTAACTTACAAATAAAGAAGGCCATGCTAGAAGAGATAAAAGGGATGAAAGTAGTTGTCTCTGGAGAGCAGACCTGGGGAAGAGGGAGGAGAGCATCTTGAAATACCACTGGACTTTTTAAATTGTGTGCATGTCGTTCTTGGGTACAAATAAAAAGTAATTTAAGAATGATGAGAACCAGCCGGGTATGGTGGCTCACACTTATAATCCCAGCACTTTGGGAGGTCGAGGCAGGCGACTTGCTTGAGCCCAGGAGTTCAAGACCAGCCTGGGCAACATAGTGAGACCCCATCTCTACAAAAAGATTTTAGAAATTAGCCAGGCATGGCAGTACACACCTGTGTTTCCAGCTACTTGGGAAGCTGAAACAGGAGCATTACTTGAGTCCGGTGAGCCATGATCATGCCTTTATATTCCAGCCTGGGCGACTGAGGGAGCCCTTGTCTCAAAAAACAGCAACAAATAAAACAAATTTTTAAAACAAACAAACAAAAATGATGATCACCCTTTATTTTAGCCTGTTAAAATAACAAAGATGCAAAAAGAATGACAGGATTAGAGCATGGTGAGCTGGGCACTTGTATCAGTTGGGTGCCTTTAGCAGCAAAAAACCCCAGTAGGTAAAAGCTTAACCAAAGGATTTATCCTCTCACATAAGAACAAGTCTGGACATAGAGTATTTTCCAGGATTGATTCAGTGATTCAACTGTGTTATCAAAGACCCAGGGGTTTCTTCATCTTTCTGCCTTGTCTGTTCATGTAGTCATAGGGTAGTCAGAGCAATTTTGGACATTCTGAGAAGAATAGACTATGTCCAGAAAGAAGAAAGATGTTTGCTTCCTTTTAATGTCTTTATTCAGGGAAGAAAATCTTTCCCCAAAACCCCAGTAAATGTACCCTTGTGTTTGTTAGCCAATTTTTTTTTTTTTTTTTTTTTTTTTTTTTTTGAGACAGCGTTTTGCTCTGTTGCTCAGGCTAGAGTGCAATGGCACAATTTCGGCTCACTGTAACCTCTGCCTCCCAGGTTCCTGTGATTCTTTCACCTCAGACTCCCAAGTAGCTGGGATTACAGGCGCCTACCACAATGCTCAGCTAATTTTTTGTATTTTTAGCAGATACGGGGTTTCACCATGTTGGTAAGGCTGGTCTCAAACTCCTGACTTCAAGTGATCCATCCGTCCCAGCCTCCCAAAGTGCTGGGATTACTGGCGTGTGAGCCACCGTGCCTATCCTACTGGTGCTGATAATGGCCATTTTTATATAAAGTGGTTGAGGTGTGTCTCTCTGAGAAGTTGACATTTCCACAGAGACAGGAACCCATGCGTCTGTGGGTGAGAAGAGTGGTCCAAGCAGAGAACTGGACCAAAGCCCAGTGGCTCCTATTTCCCTTACCTGAGCCTGATGGACATCTCTGGGAAGAAGAGAGGTAAGGCGTCCACTGCCATTCTCAGAGTCACCATAGAAAAAAGCCCAGCTTCCTTGCAACACTTTTATTAGTTTGTCTTGTTATAAAATCAATACATCATTATTAAGGAAAAATTAGAAAAAATATAGAAGCAAAAATATCTAATATTCTATCACTCAAAAACACATTATAGACAGCTTTGATTATAAATCCTTCCAAATTATTTATATGTGTATACACACATACAGATAGATTTTAAGTAGTTTTCATCAGAAACTTTAAAAAATAATGAACAGATAATTTAAAAGTCACCCCCTAGGGGTCAGGTACAGTGGCTCATACCTGTAATTCCAGCACTTTGGGAGACCAAGGCAGGAGTATCACTTGAGCCCAGGAGTTCTAGACCAGCCTGGGCAACAAAGAGAGACCTTTTCTCTACAAAAAAATACAGTTATCTGGGTGTGGTGGTGTGCGCCGGTAGTCCCAGCTACTCAGGAGGCTGAGGTGGGAGGATCACTTGAGGCCAGGGGTTCAAGGCTACAGTGAGCTGTGTTTGCGCTACTGCATTCCAGGCTAGACAACAGAGCAAGACTCTGTCTTTTAAAAAAGTCACACCCACCCAGGACCTTTCAGAAATGGCCACAATATCCTCAATAACCATCAGTGTCCTATAGGATTACAGTCTTAGCAATTTCTTTTTCCTTGTCAGGTACCAGAAATTATGGGAGTTATCTGTGCCCATCTATCCATAATCAGCCAGTCTACAGTCCGCCAACAAATCATAAGTACCGTGAGTTTATTTATATCCAGGCCCAAGTACACAGATGTAGTGCTCAGCTTCCTTCTGTGTCATCCAGTGCCATATGACAGGTAACAGAACCCTGTACATCCTCTGGATTAAATTGGAGTATGTGACATAGCTCTGGATATTGTGAAACATGGTTGTCTTGAAAAATCTAATAATCCTCTTGTAAAGAAGACACAATATAGATAAAGCTGGTGATATAAATCAGAACACAATGCATAATCCTCAGGAAAGAATCCCACAGATTCCAAATGAAGAACACCTGTAAGATAATTGAACTGGACTCTTCAAAAATGTTAACATCATGGAGGTAAAACCGGTGGTGGGAGAACTGTCCTGGGTAAAAGGGTACTCAAAACAGACCCAAGTGCACTGTATGACCTTGACTGGATCCTGGTTCAAAAACAAAAGCTATAAAAGAAAGCTTGGAGAAAATTTAAATACAGAATACTATACTAGAATATTAAATTACTATAATTTTCTGGCCAGGCACAGTGGCTGACACCTGTAATCCCAGCACTTTGGCCAAGGTGGGCAGATCACTTAAGGCCAGGAGTTCAGGACCAGCCTGGCCAACAGGGTGAGACCTCATCCCTACTAAAAATACAAAATTTAGCTGGGCATGGTAGCAGATGCCTCTAATCCCAGCTACTTGGGAGGCTGAGGCAGGAGAACTGCTTGAACCCAGGAGAAGGAGGAAGTTGCAGTGAGCCAAGATCACACCACTGCACTCCAACTGGGCAACAGAGTGAGACTGTCTCAGACAAACAAATAAAAATTAGTGTAATTTCCTTAGGTGTGAAATACTGTGGTTATGCAGAAGGATGTCCTTATTCTTAGGAGATGAAATACTCAAGTTATTTAGGGGTAAAGTGTCATAATGTCTGCAACTCACTTGAGAATGATTTTGCCTAAAAATAAGGAAATAAATATATACATTGAAAAAGTAGGGCTGGGCGTGATGGCTCACGCCTATAATCCCAGCACTTTGAGAGGCTGAGGCAGGCATATTACAAGGTCAGGAGTTCAAGACCAGCCTGACTAACATGGTGAAACCCTGTCTCTACTAAAAATAAAAATGTTAGCCAGGCGTGGTGATGTGCACCTGTAATCGCAGCTACTCAGGAGTCTGAGGCAGGAGAATCATTGAACCCAGGAGATGGAGATTGTAGTGAGCCAAGATCATGTTGCTTCACTCCAGCGTGGGTGACAGAGAGAGACTCCATCTCGAAAAAGTAAACATGCATCCATAAAAAAGAATGGAATCAGAGAGAGGATCAAACAGGATGGGTTTTTTTTGCGTATTTTTGTGGGCACATCGTAGGTGTAAAGAAGTCTTTTTGAATAGTGTTTTTCACATTTGGAGGCACCCTGGAAAGTTCCACAAAGATGCCTAAGGAGGAGTCAGGAGGGCTTCAGAAGAAAGTCCCGTGCCTCCACCCACTTTAACCAGAGCAGTGCCTCTCTTTATCTGCTTTCTCTATTGTGATTCTGGGCAACTATTTTATTTAAGAAGAGATTTCCCTGCTTTAAACTATTCGAAAACTATTCTTTTAAGTGAATGGCTCTCACATAATATCTTGGTGTAGTGTTTATTATGTCCTCTATACTGAACTAAATCAAATAGTGAAAGACTTTTACCCATTCAGAGAAAAAAATAATACGGATTTTTTAAAAAACTGGGTGTGGTGGCACACACCTGTAATCCCGGCTATTCAAGAGGCTGAGGCAGGAGAATCGCTTGAGCCCTAGAGTTTTGGGCCATGGTACATGATGGTTGTACTTGTGAGTAGCCACTGCACTCCAGCCTGGAGTAACAGTCTTACTTTTTTTTTTTTTTTTCTCTGAAGAGACAGCAACTCAAGCATAGCTCACTGCAGCCTTGAACTCCCGTGCTCAAGTGATCCTCTCGCCTCAGCCACTTGAGTAGCTGGGACTACAGGTGTGTACCACCACACTCAAGCTTTTTAAATTTTTAAAATATTTTTTAGCTTACTTTTGTATATTCCTCTAACAAATTGTTCTTAAATGTTCGGTACTTGCTATAGCTTATCTGTACTTTACTCTTATATAAAAATAAATATTTTGTAGGCCGAGGTGGGCCAATCGCCTGAGGTCAGGAGTTCCAGACCAGCCTGGCCAAGATGGTGAAACCCCATCTCTACTAAAAATCCAAAAATTAACAGGGCGTGATGGCAGGCGCCTGTAATCCCAGCTACTCAGGAGGCTGAAGCAGAGAATTGCTTGAACCCAGGAAGTGGAGGTTGCAGTGAGCTGAAACTGTGACACTGCACTCCAACCTGGGCAACAGAGTGAGACTCCGTCAAAAAAAAAAAAAAAAAAAAAAAAGGCGTCAACTATGTGCAAGGTGCTATTAGGCCCTATAAGTAATGGACAAGACATGCACCCCACCCTTAAGCAGCACAGTCTGGTAGCCACATAGATGAATAAGTATTCAAAACCTAAGTAGGGAGTTCTGTGGAAGCCCCTAGGTCTGGACTTGATTAGATGAAGGGTCAGGAAATGACTTCTGAAAGCAGAGCTGCCCCAAAGCTGATGAATGCTAACAGCCAGATGGCAGGTCAAAGTGGCAGGAGAGAAAAATGGATAGTAAGAAGTGCTCAGACACCAGGGATCTTTTTGCTGTGATAGAAACGTTCTAACAATGGATTGCGGTCATGACTGCAGGACCTTGTACATTTACTAAAAGTCGGCGAGTTGTATGCTTAAGACAGGTAATCTTTATGGTGGTAAATTATAACTCACTAAAGCTGCTTTTTAAAAATGGTCAGAAATTAGCAGCGATTGGGACCAACTTAGAATTGGGATAGCAGACTTTATACTACGGGAGTTGGGAAGCCACTGAAGAACTTTAGTTAAGGAACTTACATCATCAGATGCGCATTTTTTAGTGTGACTGATGGAGATGTATTAGAGGCTGTTCCGCCAGACAGGAAGAAGGACAGGCAGTTAAGCAGGTGCACCTTTTTAGAAAAAGATGATGATGCCCTGATTAGGGCAATGACTCCAGAGATGGAGAGGAGAAAGGAGTAAAGAAACGGGAGCAGCCAGGCACAGTGGTTCACACCTGTGATCCTAGCACTTTGGGAGGCCAAGGCGGGTGGATCACCTGAGGAAGGAGTTCCAGACCAGCCTGGCCAACATGGCAAAACTCCGTCTCTACTAAAAACACAAAAATTAGCTGGACGTGGTGGCGAGAGCCTGTAATCCCAGCTACTCTGGAAAATGAGGCAGGAGAATCACTTGAATCCGGGAGGCAGAGGTTGCAGGGAGCCAAAATTGGATCATTTCACTCCGGCCTGGGCAACAGAGCGAGACTCCATCTAAAGAAAAAAAAAAAAAAGGAAAGAAAAAAAGAAATAGGAGCATCTGTAGGCAGGCCTTGATTGAATCAGAGAGGAATGGCAGGGAAGAAGAAGGCATTCAGGCTAATTCCCCACTCGTCAGTTTTTGGCTTTGGAGGCCAAGTTAATGATGATATCATTTACTGACACAGGAATTACACTACATTTTCACCACTGACTGTTTCTCTATGGGATATGAAATACTTTGAGAAACTCAATTCACTAATGCAGGACCAAATCAAAGAAGTCATAGAGTGCGTATGTGACATGTGTCCCTCATACTACCCTAGGGCAGTACTCTGTCCCAGTAGTCCAACAGAAGAGACAAGTGGCTCTTTCTCTTTCTATTCCATAAGGATGCTACAGCAGGATATTTGTTTTTTTTGTTGTTGTTGTTGTTTGTTTGTTTGTTTGTTTTGAGATAAAGTCTCAGGCTGTCGCCTGGGCTGAAGTGCAATGGTGAAATCTTGGCTCACTGCAACCTCCACCTCCCAGGTTCAAGTGGGTTCACGTGATTCTCCTGCCTCAGCCTTCTGAGAAGCTGGGATTACAGATACACACCACCACACCCAGCTAATTTTTTGTATTTTTTGTAGAGACGGGGTTTCACTATGATGGCCAGACTGGTCTCGAACTCCTGACCTCGTGATCTGCCCACCTCAACCTCCAAAAGTGCTGGGATGACAGGCATGAGCCACTGCACCCAGCCTAGGATATTTGCTCTTAAATACGTAGGCTTCTTCAGTCTCCTAGCACAGTGTTTGTTAAAGTATCTGAAACACTGCCTCAGAATCCCCTATGAAGCTTGTTAAAAATGCATCTTCTGGCCAGGCGTGGTGGCACTCATGCCTGTAATCCTAGCACTTTAGGAGGTTGAGATGGGTGGGTAGCTTGAGCCCAGGAGTTCAAGACCAGCCTGGGCAACATGGTGAAACCCTGTCTCTACAGAAAATGCAAAATTAGCTGGTTGTGGTCCACATGCCTATAGATCCAAATAGGAGGATGAGACGGGAGAATCATTTGAGTCTGGGAAACTGAGACTGCAGTGAGCTGTGATTGTGCCACTCTACTCCAGCCTAGGTGTCAGAGTAAAACCCTGTCTAAAAAAAACTCAAACAAACAAACAAAAACCATCTTCCAGTACCCTACATCAGACCTACATATTTGGTCAGGACTCTTGTTTGGAAGTAGCAGAAACTGAGCTGCTCACACTACCTTAAGGAATTGTATAGGCTTATATTACAGGGAAGTCCAAGGGTCTGTCTTTAGGATTGAATCCAGAGACTTAGTTTATTTCATCAGGGCTCCATTCATCTTTCAGATGGATTTGCACGAAAGGTGGCAAAGATGGTTACCATCAGCTCAAAACTGCAGTGGAAAGGCTGTGTCATTTCCCCTTTAGCTCTGAGGGATGTCCTGGGCCAGGACTCTGATTAGCCTGGCTTGGAGTCAGCTCCCACCAAACTACACCAACCAAATAGGATTATTAAGGATCTTGAAAATGTGGTTTCCCAACAGGATAATGGGCAAACAAAACCCATGTCACAACTACGGAATCAGAATCACTGGAAGTGGGAAGATTTTTTCCAGTTTTTAAACTCTCTGGATGTTTCTCACACTGAAATTCGTGAACCACTGGCTTAAAGGCTCTGTGCTTTCTAAATTCAGATACATTTTCAGCACACTTAAAATGTGCAGCAAACCAAAGCATTTCGCAACACTTCGCACAATAAACAGCTTCTGTAAAGTACTTCATTTATTCCCTCAGGAATTCAGAGAAAATAACCAAGGATAAGTAAACATGGGAATTTCTTTATGTTATCCCAGATGAATGTTCCTCTTCGGCTATCTCATCATTCAGCAGCTGTGAGCTTTTCAGCAGCCTACATTGCCTTTCTGGCCTTTTCTTTAGGACCTTCTTTGTTTTATTCACAAATTGGAACCACTAGGGTGAGGAGTGACATGCTGGTATATTTTTTAAGCCTCTCAAGTTTTAGGATGATTCTCACAGTTGGAAGACCAGAAGACCACACTTTTTCTTCTTCTTCTTTTTTTTTTTTTTTTTTTTTTCTGAGACAGAGTCTCACTCTGCCACCTAGGCTGGAGTGTGATTTTAGCTCACCTCAGTCTCTGCCTCCCGGGTTCAAACAGTCCTCCCACCTGAGTCTCCTAAGTGGCTGGGACTACAGGTACACACCACCACACCTGGCTAATTTTGTGTTTTTGAAGAGACAGGGTTTCGCCATGTTCCCCAAGCTGGTCTTAAACTCCTGGGCTCAAGTGATCCTCCCGTCTCAGCCTCCCAAAAAGGTGACTGGTCTGGATGGATTGAACACAGAGTGTGTGATGGGGAAGTGGTGGGGCTAAAAAGCTAAGTCGGGACCAGGTTATGAATGGCCTTGAAGTCCATGCTGAGGCAATGGGAATTTGATTCGATAAAACCTGGGGAGTTTGGAGGGTGGGGGATAAGGGGAGGGAGAGCATTAGGACAAATACCTAACGCATGTGGGCTTAAAACCTAGATGACGGGTTGATAGATGCAGCAAATCACCATGGCACACGCATACCTATGTAACAAGCCTGCACATTATGCACACGTATCCCAGAACTTAAAGAAATTTTTTTTTTTTTTTTTGAGACGGAGTTTCGCCCTTGTTACCCAGGCTGGAGTGCAATGGCGCAATCTCGGCTCACCGCAACCTCCGCCTCCTGGGTTCAGGCAATTCTCCTGCCTCAGCCTCCGGAGTAGCTGGGATTACAGGCACGCGCCACCATGCCCAGCTAATTTTTTGCACTATTAGTAGAGACGGGGTTTCACCATGTTGACCAGGATGGTCTCGATCTCTTGACCTCGTGATCCACCCGCCTCGGCCTCCCAAAGTGCTGGGATTACAGGCTTGAGCCACCGCGCCCGGCCTTAAAGAAATTTTTAAAAAATTAGCTGGGTGCAGTAGCTCACACCTGTAATCCCTACAGCGAGGCCGAGGTGGACAATTCACTTGAGGTCAGGAGTTCGAGACCAGCCTGGCCAACATGGCAAAACTCCGGCTCTACTAAAAATACAGTAATTAGCCAGACATACCAAGACCAGCTTGACCGTAGAGACCCACACCCAGGCAGCACTGAAGGAATTAAGCAGCAGACACAAAGATAGAGTGCAAAGTGGGACTACCAGGGAGCTCACAGCCTTCCAAGCTGAGAGCCTCGAGCAGATTCTGACCAATGTATTTATTCTCTCTGAACAGGTGATTATTATTAACAGGTGTTCTGTGTTTTCCCATAGAACCAAGATAAACTAGTCAGGCAGCTGATGCCTGCTTACCACTGATGAAAGACAAACCAGAAAGCATTCTCCACGAGAGGGTCACGGGGGCAGGGTCACATATCCCATGCTTAAAGAATTGTTTTAACCGATGATATACGTATAAATTTTTTTACTACTTTAGAATGCCCCAAGCAGTTTTCTGCTTGGGGGGCCGGCTGGGTTTTCCTTGCCATCGTTCTCAGCAAACTATACAATTTATCACACACGTTAGGACGTGTCCCACATGGACGTGGTGGTGGGCACCTATAATCCCAGCTACTCAGGAGGCCGAGGCAAGAGAATTGATTGAATCCAGGAGACAGAGGTTGCAGTGAGCCGAGATCTTCCCACTGACTTCAGCCTGGGTGACAGAGCAAGACTCCATGTTAAAAAAAATTATAATGATGATAAAAATTTTAAAACAAGAAAATTTAGAGCAATAGGAATCCTACTCTGCCTGTTGGCGAATAAATTGGTACAACCACTTTTTTTTTTGAGATGGGTCTCACAAGAAGGAAAAAAAAATCTGGGGAGTTACTGTTAGGAAATCAAAATCAGTCTTTTGACACCCTGAAGAACTGAATAGAGAAGAGAACCCCTTCTAGATTGCATTGGAATCAGCCATTCTCCTGAACCCTCTTGTTCTTTGGGATTTCCAGGCACCTGACTGAGGTGTGGAGAACGCTGGTGGTGGAGCTGCCCAGCACGACCTGGATTCTGTGGAGGCTCCTGAGGAAGCTGCAGAAATGCCATAATGAGCCCGCACCGGAGAAGATGGCATATGTGGCTGTGGCTGTAAGCCCTTGAGCTCTGCCCCTCTAATGTCAGCCCCTCCCGGGATGACTGACCCCACACCCCAGTGGAGACTCTTCTTTTTGGTCCCTCACAAAGCCTGCATCTGTCAGCCATTGATTGATTGAGACGTTGTTTCGCTCTTGTTGCCCAGGCTGGAGTGCTCCCTGGTAGTCCCACTTTGCAGTCTATCTTTGTGTCTGCTTCTTAATTCCTTCAGTGCTGCCTGGTGTGTGGGTCTCTATGGTCAAGCTGGTCTTGGTATGCCTGGCTAATTTTTGTATTTTTTTTTTTTAAGATGGAGTCTTGCTCTGTCACCCAAGCTAGAGTGCAATGGCACAATCTTGGCTCACTGCAACCTCTACCTCTTAGGTTCACATGATTCTCCTGCCTCTGCCTCTAGAGTAGCTGGGATTACAAGCATGAGCCACCACACTTGGCTAATTTTTTTGTATTTTTAGTAGAGACGGGGGTTTACTATGTTGACCAAGCTGGTCTCGAACTCCTGACCTCAGGTGATCCACCACTTCGTCCTCCCAAAGTACTGGGATTACAGGCATGAGCCACTGCACCCAGCCTGTTGTCATCTAACTTTATGATAGATGTTGCCCTGGCTTTATATTTGTATGTAGTCAAATATGTTAATAGTTTCCTTCATGACTTCCGAATTTCAAAAATGGCAGGTGCTTAGTTCTGCTCTGTGTCTTTTCCACCACAGGCAACAGATGCCCTTTATGAGGTGTTTTTGGGAAACAAGCTTCGAGCAGCTTCATTCCGACTCTTTCCTCAGCTTCTCATGACACTGCTCATCCAAATTCATCATAGCATTGGCCTCACCATGTCTGATGTAGCCATCCCAAGTGGCCTGTATGCAGAAGAGGAAGTGTCTTCAGAGGTCACCCCTTTGTGGTACGGCCCATCATTATTCCATTGACATTATGTAACATATACTAAGCACTAGGCACTGTGGTGAACCCAGGGATCGCTAAGATGTTGTCCCAACTGGAGGGGAGCTTACAATCTGCAACCCTCATGAAACATCAAGACGAAATGCCCAGAAATCATTCTAAGCTTTCATTGGTTATCTTTGGTTTTATTAGTAACAGTGTAAATTTGGCTGAGTTATCTGGGTTAGCCAAATGTGCTATTGTGTCAGCCCTTTCCTAATAAATCAAGTAGAGATGGAAACAAAGCAGTCTAAACCTCCCTCCCAAACTGCACTGATCCACCATGCAGTGATTTCTGTTTTCCGTTTTATTGCATGGAGAGATATTTGTAAGTCCCCTTAGAGTCTCAGTAGAAATTTCTTAGTGTTGTTGGTTGGGCACGAGTCTCATGCCTGTAATCCCAGCACTTTGGGAGGCCGAGGTGGGAAGATCACCTGAGGTCAGGAGTTTGAGACCAGCCTGGCCAACATGGTGAAACCCTGTCTCTACTAAAAATACAAAAATTAGCCGGGCGTGTTGGTGCACACCTGTAATCCCAGGTACTCAGGGGGCTGAGGCAGGAGAATTGCTTGAACCTGGGAGGCGGAGGTTGCAGCGAACCAAGATCTCACCATTGCACTCCAGCCTGGGCCGCAGAGTAAGCCTCTGTCAAAAAAAAAAAAAAAAAAAAAAAAAAAAAAAAAAAACCAGAAGAAACTAAAAGAAAAAAGAGAAGAGTCTTTGGACAATCTGGAAAGGAGAGAAATACAGTCCAGGAGTTGTCAATGCATGGCCCTCCTCAGTGAGAATGGGGTGATTGTGTGCTGTAAGTTGGAGGGACCTATTCAAATCACCCACACTGTTTTTGTTTGATTTAGCTTTGCCATGCAGGCTATAAAGGCTCTCCTCCTCAGAACATGGTGCTGGCAGGAATTCAACATCATGGAAAAGAATAAAGGATGGGCTCTCCTGGGAGGAGAAGATTGCCATCTTCAGGGAGTATTTCTCCTTGCCAAGTAAGGCTTCCTTATCATGCCTACACCCGCCTGCTCTAAATCAACCTTGTTTTGAGTAGTTATTTCCCTTCTAGTTACCACAGCAACTAAGGTTGAATAATCTCCTTATAAGAGGGTAGGCAGGCACCATGGCTCACACTTAAATCCCAGCATTTCGGGTGGCTGAGGCAGGCAGATCTCAAAGTCAGGAGTTTGAGACCAGCCTGGCCAACATAGTGAAACCCTGCTTCTACTAAAAATACAAAAACTAGCTGGGCATGGTGGTGGGCGCCTGTAATTCAAGCTACTTGGGAGGCTGAGGCAGGAGAATTGCTTGAACCCTGGAGGCAGAGGTTGCAGTGAGCTGAGATCTCACCACTGCACTCCAACCTGGGCAACAGAGCAAGACTCCGTCTCATGAAAAAAAAAAAAAAAGAAAGAAAGAAAAAAAAGGAGGGTGGGCAAATATCCATAATGCTGGGCAAATTTTTTAGAGGTCCTAGTCCTACCATACTGTCCTGTATACCTGGAGCTGGGCAAGAACTTCCAGAGTGTTCCCAGCTCTAAGAAAATGCCCTCTGGATGGGAGCAGTTCTGAGAGTCGTTCTGTTGCTGTTGTGTTTTGCAGGGCATTGCTGGAAAAAAGTCCACTCCTTGCACAGAAGGTCATGTACTTGCTAGTCCCTCTTCTTAACCGAGGGAATGATAAACATAAACTCACAGCTGCAGGCTTTTTTGTGGAGGTAAGACTCATTCTTTAGAAGCTGGATTCAGGAAGCCTATGAAGCAGGAATCCCTGCTTTCCTAGGCTATGTCTAGTTCGTGGCATGTTGGGATCTGTTTCAAGTGTAGGATAGAAATCATTTTCAGATTCAAGGCCAGGCACAGTGGCTCACACCTGTAATCCCAGCACTTTGAGAGGCTGAGGTGGGTTGATCACCAGAGGTCAGGAGTTCAAAACCAGCCTGGCCAACATGGTGAAACCCTATCTCTACTAAAAATACAAAATAATTAGCTGGGTGTGGTGGCAGGTGCCTGTTAATCTCAGCTACTCTGGAGGCTGAGGCACGAGAATCTCTTGAACCCAGGAGGCAGGGTTGCAATGAGCCAAGATCTCGCTGCTGCACTCCAGCCTGGGCTACAGAGCTAGACTCCATCTCAAAAAAAAAAAAAAAAAAGAAAGAAAGAAGGAAAAAGAAAAAGAAAAAAGAACTACACACACAAAAAAAAGAAAGAATTTTCAGATTCAAGCCTCTCGAAATTCTTCTTTCCACGCATGTATGAGTCAGTATTCCTTGTGTACCTGTAGGGTAAACATCACCCTGTATGTGCTGTATTGTAGAGATTTAAAAGGAAAATATATAATTTGGTGTTGGTGGGAAGGTAGCTCCCCACATGCAAAAGGGCTTAAAGGTCATTTCTTTGGCTAATCTCTGGGTTCTTTCAGCTTCTGCAGAGTCCAGTGGCCAAGAGACTTCCCAGCATATATTCCATTGCCCGCTTGAAAGACTGGCTGCAAGATGGAAATAATCTCTTTAGAATGATCAGCCTGAGGGGGCTGTACAATCTTGTTGGACACAAGAAGAGGGTAGGAGGGACCCCAAGACCACTGATTCTTTTCTTTTTTTCTTCCCTTTTTTCTTTTTTTGAGTTAGGGTCTTGCTTTGTCACCTAGGTGGGAGTTCAGTGACACTATCATGGTGTCAGCCTCAACCTCCTGGGCTCAAGTGATCCTCCCACCTCAGCTTCCTGAGAAGCTGAGACCACTGGCACATGCCACAATGCCCAGATGATTTTTTTTAATGTTTGTAGAGACGGAGTCTCACCATGTTGCCAGGGCTGCTCTCGAACTCGTGGGCTCAAGTGATCCTCCCACCTCGGCCTTCCAAAATATTGGGATTATAGGCAGGAGCCACAGTGCCTGGCCTGGACCACTGATTCCTAAATCACAAATAAATCACCCCAAAAATGATACCTAAGAAACTGAAAACAGCTGAGGAGGACAACTGGATAGCCTGGGGACAAGAGTAGGGAGGAAAAATTCTTTTTTCCTGCACATCCTTTTGTACCATTTAAAACTTTATACGTAAAAAATAGTCAAGTACTGACTATTTAAAAATTAATGAAATTGGCCGGGCATGGTGGCTCACGCCTGTAATCCCAGCACTTTGGGAGGCCAAGGCAGGTGGATCATAAGGTTAGGAGTTCAAGACCAGCTGGGCCAACATGGTGAAACCCCGTCTCTACTAAAAATACAAAAATTAGCCAGGCATGGTGGCATGCACCTGTATTCTCAGCTACTTGGGAGGCTGAGGCAGGAGATTCGCTTGAACCTGTGAGGCAAAGGTTGTAGTGAGCTGAGATTGTGCCACTTCACTCCAGCCTGGACAACAGAGCAAGACTCCATTTCAAAAAAATAAAAATATCTTGGCTAGTCTGGGTGCACTGACTCATGCCTGTAATCCCAGCCCTTTGGGAGACTGATTGGTAGATTGCTTCAAGTCAGGAGTTTTGAGAGCATCCTGGCCAACACGGTGAAACCCTGTCTTTACTAAAAACACAAAAATTAGCTGAGCATGATGGTGGGTGCCTGTAATCCCAGCTACTTGGAGATGCCAGGGCTGAGGCAGGAGAATCGCTTGAACCTGAGAGGCAGAGTTTGCAATGACCCAAGACTGCACCATTGCACTCCAGCCTAGATGACAGAGCAAGACTCCATCTCCCAAAAACGTTATATTTACACACACACATATGTATATATATTTGAGCTGGGCAAGGTAGCTCACACCTGTAATCTTAGCACTTTTGGCTGGATGCGGTGGCTCATGCCTATAATCCTAGCACTTTAGGAGGCCGAGGCAGCTGGATCATGAGGTCAGGAGTTTGAGACCAACCTGGCCAACACAATGAAACCTTATCTCCACTAAAAATATACAAAAATTATCTAGATGTAGTGGCCTACACCTGTAATCCCAGGATAATTCTTAAACCAGGAGGTGGAGGTTGCAGTGAGCCAACATCACGCCGCTGCACTCCAGCCTGGGCAACATGAGCAAAATTCCATCTCAAAACAAAACAAAACAAAACAAAACAA